TACAATTATTTATAGCAAAATTCTTTCAAAAGAAAGTTTTTATAATATATTTCGTTAGCAATTTTAGACGAAACTCGAAGACAAGATCTAACAATCTTATAAGATCGCAGAGGATTTAGCAATCTTCTACAGGTCTCCAGATTTCCTTTTATAAAATCATTTTTAACTGTTTTAAAAAAACATGCTTTTTAGAAATTAAAAAAAAAAATTAGATAATTATTGAATTATTGAATATTTAAAAATTAGATAATTGAAAGATCTTAATAAAATTTTTAGAGATATGATTATAAGACATTTGTTGTTTAGAGATATGATTATAAGACATTTGTTGTTTAGAGATATGATTATAAGACATTTGTTGTTTAGAGATATGATTATAAGACATTTGTTGTTTACTAAAAAGTTTTAAAAGTTTAAAAGTTTCGAAAATATTGTTGGACTTGTTTATCAATATTGTTGGACTTGTTTATCAATAGTGTTGGTTAGTGTTTAATATGAAACGAATTTAATACATATAAAACCAAATATCCGAGAACAATAAACATGACCCAAAGGCAAGGCCGGCGCGATAGGGGGGTGTGACACCCCCCCCATCAATGGTTTTTAGTCGGCTAACTGGACCCTTAGTCGGACCTTTTTAGACTAGTTAGTCGGCAGATGTCAACCCTTTCGATATAGGTTAGACAGTCGGCAAATGTCGTAATGGCGGTCGGCAAATTTCGGAAAACGAGGACCTTTTTTTTTTTTTTTAGTCGGCAAAAGTTGTAATGGCACCCCCCCCCCCCCCCAAATTCTATTCATCATTACCAACCATCATAGTTCTTTTGCATAGTTCTTTTCCAACATATTCTTCTTTTTATTATTATCATCGTCTTTATTTTTATTATATTAAATTGTTATTTTAGTATAATATCAGATTTTTCCATATTTTTTACCCTTTAAATTTAACTTTAGAAGTTGCCCAAGAACATACCAAAAACTTGCTTAACCTACATTTTAAGAAAAATTAAACTAGAACATTTTATTATATTTTTGTTAGTTTCTTGGAGATGTTACATTTTCGATAGAGATGTTTTTGATTTTTTTTATAATATTATAAATAATTTAAAAAATGCAAATATTTGTATAAAAAGACTAGACCTAGCTGTCTAGCCCAAGTGAGGAAAAAAAAACTGAGAAGAAATAATAAAAGTGATAATAAAATAAAGTTATGTTGAACAGGTGATAATATCAAATTAAAGACATTATAGTAAAGTGTGCAATAGTTCATAAGTAATATCAAATTAAAGACATTATAGTAAAGTGTGCAGTAGTTCATAAGTAATAGCACGTTAATAACAAGCATGCAATAACTCGAAACTTTTATTCCTTAGGAGGTATCAAAAGATATGCGCTTATAGAAATGAACTAAAACCGTTTTTAATAAATATATTTTAACTGATGACGATTATATGTAGTCGAAACATGTCTTAAATTAATAAAATGTATTTAAATAAAATTGAAAAATATTTGCCCCTCTGGTGTCATCAACATATATTTATTTAACTGTTATTAAATTTATTTAACTGTTATTAAATTTAATTAATCAGATAGGTCATTATATTATAAATTTAAAAATAAAAAGGACTAAAATGGATTTTTTGAAGATCCTCGTGTTATATGTAATCAGTTTGATTATAAAAAAAAATCTATTCAAACATAATTTGCGATTGGTTAAAATAGCTGATTATATTAATTTATTAATTAGAAACATTTCTAACAAGCTACTTACTCTTAAGAACATTTTTTACACTTAAGGTATAAAAATGGTGAAAACATAGTTGCACTTAAGGTATAAAAATAGTGAAAACATAGTTGCACTTGAATAAACCATGGTACTATAAAGAAGGTTTTATTTACCCCATAAAATGTTTGGTATTTTGACAATTTTTTCAATAAAATCTGTATAGATATTATACATATAACACTTATTTTTATATTATACATATAACACTTATTTTTATATTATACATATAACACCTATTTTTATATTATACATATAACACCTATTTTTATAAAGATGAAGAAAAAAGTTTGATTTTAATTCTAAAAAGTTTGATGATTACTTTTTAGTTATTAAAAGTTTTTTATGATATATGTGAGTTTGCCACTCTAATTTAATTATCAAACAATTCAGAAATTTTTAAAAACAATATTGCTTCAACTAAGTTACTTATTTGACTTTAGACTCTATTCAAAACTAAAATATCTTTTTTCAGAGCCCATAACAGTTTTGCTTTGCAAAAATTAAAAAATAACATTACCCCGCTAGGTTCATTTTTATTTTAATTAACCATTATGACATAATTTTTAAATTCTTATTTTTACTTTTATATGATAAGATAATTTTGGATTTTTCTCTAAATAACGTATAATAAAGTTAATTCCATAAAAGATCGTATTACGACCAGTATAACGTCACGATCACTTCACAATCGCCCACAATTTTGTAATGTTTTAAGAAATTAAAAAGAAAAAAAAACTGAAAAAAACATCTGTATTTTTTGTCTTGCGTCACAATAAAACGAAAAAAAATTTAGTTGATAGGTTTAAGATAAAGGCGATTCATATAAAAGAACGCTGTGCAAATTTCAACTAATAACTTAAAACCCACAAAAAATGACTTAGGCGATTGTGAAATAATTGTGAAGACATGAAACACAGCCCTGGTTTTTAGTTGGGGGTAAGAAGAAGGGTGTTTTGGAATGTTAATAAAAATTTAATGCAACTTCACTTTTATACACTTTAAAAAAAGTAGTAGGGCCTAAGCTTAGAAAGGGGCGCCTCACTCAGAGCTGTGGCTAGGCAATCCCACACTCCTAATTAAAGGGATGGAGTAATAGCGATTTCAGGGGACCCATTTGCAAGTTTAGGGGCTTTTTGAAATTTAAGGAGCGTTTTTTTTTTCCTGTTAGTAATACTTAGTGGAATATTTTTTAAGAAATTAGGGCCCTAATCAGGGCCGTGCACAGATTTTGGAAGCCCCTAGCATCATTCAATTTGGGGGCCTGACCTCAACCCCCCTAATAAACACTTAAAAATAATACTAATAGACACTCAAAATGGCAAGATTACTTGCTCTTGTCCCATAGAGCATAAAAATTGAAATTGAAACAAAAATAAGCAGTACAATCACTGAATTTCTGAAGAGTTCCCCTCATTTCTGAAATTTTGTGTAACAAGTCGATATTGATTCAAAATTTTTTACCTGAATTTCGCCATATATGAATAGCTGTCTTTTTTTTTGCCTAAAAGGCCTAGTTTCAGCAATTATTCAATTTGAGGATTTTTATCAAAACTCTAAATATGAGAACACATTTTATAGAGCTCAAATATATCAGGGCACCTCTAATCTCAGTTTTTGTTTTAGGCGTATAAATTCAAACTCATGCTCCAATTCTCTTTTTTTAGGCGAATAAATTCAAACTCATGCTCCAATTCTGTGAACTTTTTCCAAAGATTTAAGGATTTAACTCAATTGAGAAAGGGCGAATTACGTCAAGTGTTTTAGTCCATCATGTTCCAGATTTCCTGTAAAAGATACACCATGGAGAATCTTTCCAGTATTTCCCTGCTGTGAACAAGCAAAGAAAATTTTTTACACGTTTTGAACAGTTCCAAAAAAAGTTAAGCATCTGTACAGTTTGAGGCAGCATTCTGTTTAAACAAATTCAATTAATAACAACCTCAGGTTGAGAATTTAGACAATGGGTTTTTTATTTGTAGGACTGTTTGAACACCCTTGACATGTTGGCTCCATTATCATAGTATTGGCCACCGCAGTTTTCAAAAAAAATTGTAACGTTTCCTAAATTTCCAGAAATAATCCTGCAAAAACATATCCAGTCTTCGTTGGAAAATCTGCAAAGTTTAAAAACCGTTCTTCGATTGAAAACTTTCCAGGTTCTTCTTCATGTACATATCAAATGACAAACGCAGTTTGTTCAATATATATATAATATATATATATATATATATATATATATATATATATATATATATATATATATATATATATATATATATATATATATATATATATATATATATATATATATATATATATATATATATATATATATATATATATATATAGGGGGATGTGCAACTTTTACCCTTTTTGACTAGTTAGTCGGCAAATGTAGACCCTATCGATAGGTTAATCGGTAAATATATATATATATATATATATATATATATATATATATATATATATATATATATATATATATATATATATATATATATATATATATATATATATATATATATATATATATATATATATATATATATATATATATATAATCGCCTGTAAAAACAACTCCTTATAATGCGTCACTTTATAAAGTTTGTCTTTAATAATATGACAACATTTTCTTAACATAAACTCAGAAGTAAAATTTAAGCAATAGCTTTCCAAGACTAAGGCTATTTCTATTGACTATGATAAAACTTGCTTGCTCTTTTGTTAACGGCATTGAACATTTGTGCTGCATATGTGTGTGAAAAGTTGTAACTGATTTGCTTTGAGGCGTAAGGATAAAGGAATAGAAAAAAAACCCTGAAGTTTGTTGCATTTCTGCGGGTTAATTTATTTAAGCCAACCGCTTGTGGGGGCTCCCATAGGAGCCGTGGCCCCGAGCAATTTACTCGGGTGACTCGCCCTCTGCACGGCCCTGGCCCTAATGACAAATTTCGGGGGAAGGCTAGTCACGGCATCCTCTCACCTTATCCAACACTTCCACTATCATTGTAATATACATAGAATAAAAAAAATTAAATAACTAAGAACAATTAAAAAGTAAATACGAAATTTAAGTGTGTTTTTTGTAAACAATCGAGGCAAAATTTAAAAAATATATTGGTCTAGTAAGAAAACAAATATTCTAATAAAAAAGTTTAAATTATTTAGGGATTCGTGCAACCAAGGTATTAATTTATTTTGTTCGATTGATTCATCGAGTTAAGATCACCGAGCGAGACAGAAGATCTTCATCTTAAAAAGTTTATTTTTACACCAAAAATCTATAAATACAAAATTTATTCAAACTAGTGTAATATTATATATATAAATTACATTATATGCTTATTTCGCTACAAATACAATTTCAATGTCATGAAAACACAATGGCGTCCGACTACAATTCTCCTGGAACTCCAAGTCGACACGAGAAGTCTTTAGGCCTTCTTACAGCAAAATTTGTTGGATTGTTGCAAGAAGCTAAAGATGGTGTGCTAGACTTAAAAGTGGTGGGTTTATTTAAAAGTAAAGAATAAAGTTTAAATATTGTATTTTTAATGTTAATATCCTCAGCATTTAATATCCTTCACATTTATCAGTAAGTTTTGTATAAAGTAACTTTTAAAATCATTCATTCTCAGTTTATATCTGGTCAATTAATTACACTTTTTTTAAATATAAAGAGTTATTCAACCACTATAAACTGAATATGAGAACCTTAATGCTAATTAAAAAGTAAGTAAAAATTATTGATTTAGAAAATGTTATTGTTGAAAATACTCTTCAAATTTTGGTACAGGTGAACTGCCTATATAATTTCAAGCAAACAATATATATAATTTTTTTCAAAGAAAACATTCAAACAAATAAATGATCTTATTTTATTTTTAACTTTTTTTATTTGTGTTTGATTTCAAACTATTTTTTGTTGGAATTTTTACCTTGTAAACAAATTTACAAATTTTACCTTGTAAACAAATTAAAGAAAAAAAAACAAGTTGTCAAAATTTAAACGCTAATTTAATGAAATTAATTAAATTTTTATAATCAAATTAATAAAAGCTAAAAAGCTAGAATTCTAAAAAATATATGAAGGGCTGTAAATATAAGGTATTCATATTTTAATTCCTTCCTACTCTTTGGTAATCAAATGTAATGGCAATTTTTCTTTTGATTATAAAATAAATAAATTTTAAGTCTGATGAGCATTGTTTAGCATTTTCAAATAATCCATTTTAGTATCTTATGAAAATATTCAATACCTCTTAAAGAGACTTACAATTGACATATAATTGACTAATATGTACAAGTTACATATTAGTCAATTATATGTCAATTAATTCCTTCCTTTTACTATTCTCTATAAGTGAATCAAGAAAAACCAAGTTTTTTTTTATTTAAAAGTGTTATTATTTTTGTTATTGTTGTTTTGTTATTATTGTTATTATTTTTATTATTACTATTATTATTACCATTTCTGATTAATCTTTTTTTTTTTTTTTTAAATTAGTGTTATCAGCATTTTAGTATTTTTGCTGATATTATTTTTTGACTTATCTAGGAGAAAGAAAACACTTATGTAAAATTTTTCTCTTGATTTTTCTCTTAACTATTAAGAGTAAGAAAAGCTTAAGTGTATGTATGTATATATATATATATATATATATATATATATATTATATATATATATATATATATATATATATATATATATATATATATATACAGGCCTTGTTTTAAAGCGTTACGCCTAGAGCGGTTTACATACGCCTTAAGCGATTTTTACGAACGCGTAGAGCTGTTTTGGTTAAGCTACTTTCTATCATTTTTTAACTTTTAAATTTGCGGTAACATAAAAGAAGTAATTAATTTTTAAAAAAACCACATTAACTTTTAAATAACGATATGTAAAGATATTTATTGCAACAAAAAATTTACGTTAAAAATAATTGTTGTAACTTTTCATTGCGATATATCTTACCTTTTTATAGCAATTAATTTTACACTAAACTTTTTATCCAAATATTAAACAACATGAAAAATTGTTCATCAATCCTTAACTACAAATTTTTTGGAATGTTTTCATTAAAAAATTAGTAATTTTTTAAAGTTTTTAGTAAAAAACTTTAAAAAAATCTATATTCCATATTTATTAATACAGAATATAAATGTTTTTTGTAATATAGATTTTTTAAGAGTTTTTTACTGAATTTATAATAAAAAACATTTGCAAAAAAATTTGTAATTAAGGATTGCCTTTTTTTTTAATATTTCAAAAAATAACAAGACATTTTTTCGAGATATTAAAAAAAATGTGCCAATGAATGAACAATCTATTTGTATTTTTCTAAAAATTACTTCATTAATTATTACTCTTTGTTTTTCTTATTAGTTAACGGTATATAGATTACCTTTACCTTTAAGTTATGCAGGGGGAGGTGGCTGATACAGAAAAAAAAAATTACCGGTTACTTGCAGTTTTTGAATGAAGACAATTTGTTAAATTTCTTCTGCGTGCAATTCAATAAGTTTTTTTGGTAAGAAATCACAAGTAGACTACAACATCCGCTGATGACACTAATATTACGTTGAATATATTTATATAACGGAGGTTTCATTATGTACGCGCACATTACAGATTCCGTTAAATAAATACTAAGGCACGTTTTAGTTTAATGACAGTCTCTATTTTTTACTAATGAATATATATTTTGCTTTATAAAACAAGACAAACTAGTATATAAAAACCTTGTATATTTCTATTCTCTCTGAATTGTTTAAAGTTCGAATATAGATTATATTTTAAAGGACAAAAGACTTACTTTAAAAAATTTTAAATCTTGGGACTTTGCTGATGCTTTGCCGATGCGATGATCACAGAAAAAGAGAAGACTTACATTATTAAAATCAAATGTATGTTATATGATCTTCATCAAAATAAAATATTATCCAAAAACAATGGTGCCGTAAGGGCAGCTGTCTTACGGTTTATAAATAACACAAGTCATGTTAAAATATTTTAAAATGTTACTATATTTTAATTAAGTTGATATATAAATAAAAAAAATATATATAGTTCAATAAATAAATTAAATTTGTTCTTAACAAAGATTACCTCATATTTATTATTTTTTTATTTTATTAAGTTAAATTGCTTACAAACAAAAAAAAAAAGAGTTTTGTAATTATACGTACAATGAAAATACTTTTGAGTTTGTTTATAAGTTAAGGAACTTAATTTTTAATAAACAAATTTTTACGAACGTTTATTATAAACAGATACGATTCAAATTATTAAATATACTTAAATTATTTTAGTTGAGTATTTTTTTAAGTTTGCATGATTAAAGTTTTGCGTAGAAGTATTTGTTTTTTGTTTTAAGAATAATTAACAAAAGAGTTTGCATAATTAAGACTTTTTTATAAATTTAAGTTAATGATCTTCATCAAAATGTAAATGTAAATTAATTTAATTTTTGTAAATGTAAGTTAATTTTTTGAATGTAAATGTAAGTTAATTTAATTTTTTTTTTAATTTCCTAAAATTTTAAAAAAAAGAAGATTTAATTGTTAAAAACGATTTTTCTCTATAGCTCTGTTTCTTTGTGATTTGTTTAAAATGTAAAACATTTTTACAACAACATGAAAATTTATGAATTAAATTCCTGGCGAACGCGTTCTAAACTATGTATCAAAAATATGCTCAAAGCAGACAAAACTTATTTATGTTTTTATATAACACAAGTTGAAACGCTAAGCAAGATAAATTTAAAAAATATTTAAAAACCTAAATTATGCTTTGCTAGTCAAAGCAAAATCGCTGTTTAAATAATTAACATGGGTTTTTGTTTATATATATATTATTATATATATATATAAATATATATATATATATATATATATATATATATATATATATATATATATATATATATATATATATATATATATATATATATATATATATATATATATATATATATATATATATATATATATATAATTTCTTAATAAGTCTCAAAAGAAGCAAAATTAAAAAAAAAAAACATCAAAAATAATATCATTTTATAAAAAAATTATTATTTTGAATTTTAAAGGAATCCCAAACTTGCAACATATGTTGTGTTCATATTAAAGATAATGTCAACAAAAAAGGTTTTTTTGATTAAAAATAAATAATGAATGCATACCGAGAAAAACTAATGTTGTTGTTTTAGCCGAAGCTTGCCTTCTATATTTTATTATCAGAGTCTTCAAATTATACATTGCAATCTACAGACTTGTGAGATTCCTTTGAAGCGCATTTAATTCTTAAAAGTTTTAGTATTTGACGTCACAGTAGACTTTTAACATTTGATAGGTTATTAAAAAATTTAAATATTTTTGCAATTTTCAATCATAATTTTTTTAAAAAATATTAAATTTAACCTACGCAATTTATTTATTCTAAAGATAAAAGAACTTTTTAATATTTAATATTTTTATAGTTAAGTATTTTACATTCTAAGTTAAAAAATTTAGTATGTAAATTGCAAATTTATTAAAGCAAAAATAATAGGTATATTATTTTTTAAATATATCATTTCTAAACCAAGGTTCATATTTAAGTTCAATTCAGTAGATGGTTAGCATTTTCTAGGGAGCTTTCAGGCCTAAGATTTCTTCAAATTTTTAAAAAGAAAATAGTTTTTATTATCATTATCTTTAATTGCAGATTCAGGTTACATTGTACTAATCTATTTTGATCACTTATGTTTTGATCACTTTTTAAAAATATTTAATCATGGTTAAGTTCCTATAACTAATTAAAATAATTATTGAATAAAGTATTTTTTTGTTTATTAAAAAGTTTGATTAATTATTTATTTGATTATTTTTTATCAGTTTATTTTATTATTATTTTTTTATTAAATTTTTATAAATTGTTAATAAAAGTAAAAAAATTAAAATGAAGTCAAATCTAATTTATAAAAGTTGGAAATTGAAGGAATAAACTACTTTTCACTAAAACCTGAAGTATTGTTTTAGGCTGCTGACCAGTTAGCAGTTCGTCAGAAAAGAAGAATTTATGACATAACAAATGTTCTTGAAGGAATTGGGTTAATAGAAAAAAAATCTAAAAATAGTATTCAATGGAAGTAAGTATTTTATTGTTGCACTGTTGGACTAAAGAGGTTAGAAGGTTTTATGTTGTGACATCCAAACAGAACCTTATAAACATAAGAGTTGTAATCTTGTTTAAAAAATTTTTTGTTTTTAAATCATATTAAAGTGCAAGATGTCTGGGTAAGTTAAAGGGGTTTAGACTTGTTTATGAATTTGGAAGACATTTAAAATATAATTTTGTTTTGATTTTTGTTAAGTAAATTTGTTAAATAAAATTTTCAGTCTTTAAAGAATCAGGTACTGAAATTAATTAACATAAGTGCTTAAAAAGTTAGGAAAAAGTGATTTTTTTTTTCAAAATTTATACATAAATAACTTCGTTAACAGCTTAGTCACTTCCGCATCAATACATCAGGCTTTGATACCAATGGTATACATTTGCGCACTGTAACTGACCACACTTAAAATTTATTTTTTTAAATTTATAATTTTAAGCAAAATCTTAAATTCTAAGTCATCCATAAGTATTTTGTATGCTTGAAAACATTTAGTAGTTCCTAGTTTTCCCTATCCTGTTATCTTTAAGTAAAAGTTGTCTGATTTAAAATTTCTTAAACAGATAAAATCATTTAATTATCTTACAAAAAATGCAAATATTTAATGACTGTAACATTTCAAAAAATTTTCATACTTAATATTTTTTCAACTTGCAGTGGTGGCAAAAAATTTGGTAGTGTTTCTGCTAATACCTGTCTGTCAGGTACTTTCCTCTTCCTTGGCAGAACTGGTTAGCCTAAATCTATCATTTTAGCAGATTCAGTTTCCATATTGAAAAGTGTTTTGAAACGTGACTAAGTACGCGAAGATCTCAAAATTTGTTTCAGGTCTGAATGATGGAATCAGCCATACAAAAGTTGAGTTGGCTTCCCTGAAGTTGAATGCTTGAACCTTCTAGGATGGTAAAAATGATTCAAATAAATTCCAATTTATAAAAGGTGTCAAATACCTGAAATATTTAATGACTGATAATTATTAAATATTTAATGATAATTTCAAAAAATTTTCATACTTAATATTTTTTCAACTTGCAGTGGTGGCAAAAAATTTGGTAGCTGCTTATACCTGTCTGTAGATAATGTGTTTACTCTTACACTCTCTAAAATTTTCTTTGAAAGTTTGTAACTTGTCACAAACAACAATTTTAAAATTTACAAAAGTTCCTTAAACACCGAACAATTAGAATCACACTTATAAAACGATTCTAAAATTTTTGTTTTAAAAAAATCCTAGTTATCTAATTTGTTTGACTTGTTTCAACCTCTATAAAGTTTGTTTTGATGAATAACATTTTTTTGACTTAATCATTAAATCCTGGTATATTAAACAAAATATTTCAAAGCAGCAAATTTTTCCATACTGATATCAAATTTAGTTCAGGTGTAAGAGCCAGTTGATCAAATAAATCTCCTTATTCAGATATATCACAGGATTGGTGCAGTTCAGAAACTCCTTCAAAGATGATTTTACTGATTTATTTTCTGAAGATTTAATGTGCCGATAAACTTTAAGATTATTTAAGCCAAGAGTTTGTTCCTTAAATTTAATATTTTTTTATACTATAAACAAGCTTTAAATGGCTTATTGTTACTGAATTCCCATTCAACATGAAGTAAGCCTCTCTTTTTGAGTCTAAATAAATTTCTTCAGCATCCAGGATAAATAACTGTTGATATTTAAATTAATTTTATTTCAAATATCCAGGAAAGATAAACAACATAATTTGTTTACTCTTTCCAAATAGAAAAATTTGGGGAAAGTGTTACAAATGACATGAAAAAGCTTTAGATAAAGAAAAAAAATGATGAAAGATGTATAATGGTGGAAATAAGAAATGTCAAACACTTGCATGCACTAAAATAAGAACACTAAAATTATGAAACACTCTTAGACTTATGATAATGAAAATTGTAGATATAATATATATATATATATATATATATATATATATATATATATATATATATATATATATAGATAGATAGATAGATAGATAGATAGATAAAAAAAATGTTGTTTTGCTTTCATTAGTTTGAATGTATTCACTAGTTTAATTTACATCAACTTCTTCGAGTATTAGAAGATCAGTAACTTCTTGTGGATGAATATGTGTTATTTTTAGATCTTATATCTAAAGTAGATTGTTTTGGTTGATCTGATTCTGATTGATCTGATTAGTTCATAGGACATAGAACAGTACATCAAACACATTGTCTTCACTTTAGGCATTTTAAGGATGATGTAACCACTATCTTTTAAGTAATTTTATTACAACATTCTTGTGCTTCTTTATAGCCCTGGGAACATGAGAATTTAAAAAAATTTCTCCTTCATGTGCTGATGTTTAATGGACTGTTGCAGGAATTTTGAAAATGAGTCATTTCATGTCAAATCAGCTGAAAAACTAAAATATTGGCACCCATTTTGCTAATTTTTATGTAATAGAGTTAATGAAAACTATGAAAATCTGAACATCAGAAATTCCAATTCCTTAGGAGTCATCCATAAATTACGTGACAATTTTTTACTGTTTTTGACCTCCTCGTTTTGTATGAGTCGTCACAAAACCACCAACCCCCTCCCCCGTATAGTGTGACATAATTTATGGACTACCCGTTATGACTCTTTAGATATTCAAGTTTCAATTTTCTTATTTATGCTGACTCATTTTTTGCAAAATATTTTTTGTCATTAAATAGCAATATATAATGATCGGAATAAGGTTTTTTTTTTTTTTTTTTTAATTTTAGTTCACTTCCAACAAGGCTGTAAGCAACCAACCATGGAATTAGAGATGATAGCTCCTTTGAGTAGCTACCATAATAATATTTGTAGAAAAGAGAAAGAGATGCAACTTTATGATGATGGGAGAAAAGCTCAAGTTTGGCAGATAAAGCAGGTCCATCTACACTTACAATGCATTTTTAGACCTTGTCTAAAAGAGAAAGAGCATCATTAAAAGAACCAGCCCAAATATGACTACAGTATTCCATACAGGGGTAAACAGATCAAATTAAATGTCAGACATCGGCGCCCTAACTCTGTTTTTGAGACCTGTTTGAGGGGGCAACATACCATTGTTCATTTTTACTGAAAAAATAAATATTGATTTGTTGCTCTCCTCTAATGGGTCACAAGAATGGTTTAAGAAGCGGTGAAGAATGAAGATGAAGAAGATGTCTAACATTTCGACCGCCTGACAAATAAAAGATTTGTAGAGATATACTATAGAATCAGAAGTAAGAAAATGGCAAGTGTAATAAAGAGAAGCTAATTTTGCTAACTTACCAATCAATTTTATATATTAACCTATATTAACCCTCGAAATTAGGGTTGGCAATCAGCTATGCTGATCTAACTGCCAAGCTAGAAGAGTTTAAGGTTGGCAAAAAATCTCATTTCTATGTTTTATGGTCAAGCTTTTGTTTTACATTTTTTCTGCCAACCTGATGCTGACCTCATACAAATTATGGTCGGCAAATTATTGCCAACCTTATTTTTCCTTATTACCAGGGTTGATATATGGTTTCAATGAGAGGTCAGTAATGAACAATTATTCAAGATGTAAAGAAGAGGACTGAGAAGGTTGTTATTCATCAATATATTAATGTTGACAGTATTGAAATAAAAATTGTTAGATAATTTTAATATTTAGATAATTAAATTGTTTGCAGTAAATAACTGAGTTTTGTTAGAGTTAAAATTCACATGCTACTTTAAGCTCCAATCTGTTACAGAAATGAAATCAGATTCAAGATCGAGTACCTGTTCTTAGCAATCTATAGAGAAGACTTTATGTTAAGACAAGTTTATGAAGTTGAGTCATCGGCAAATAGAGCCACTTCAAATGTATGGATGTCAGGAAGATCATTAATGGAGATAAAAAACAAAACAGGACCAATGATAAAATCTTGTGGTACTCTAGAAGCTGAGGTGATTTGATTGTCTAACAACCCGTTAACCTGTTTAACTGAAGGAAGAGTATGGCCACAGGATTCAAGAGTCAAATTTAAAGAAAAGTTCTTTGCAAATACTTCAGCCTTATCCTTGGGAGAGGTAATAAGATCAGTCCCATGAATTAGAGATAAAATGTTAGACTTACCTTTGTTAATGATTCTGTTGATAAGATCTAAGATTCCAAGAAAAACAAGATTTAGTAAACTGGGAATAGTAGAGCTTAGATTGAATAGCATCTTTTTACATTAACTTTTTTTTTCTAACTTTTTATGTTTTTTTAACAATATCTCTTGTTAAATGGCTTAATTTCAAAATTTTATAAAATTTATTAAAATTATTTCTATTGTCATTGAAAAGTAGATATGTTTTCAAGCGATATATAATACTCTTTATTCGATTATTTCACCATAGCAGAATGTATTAGTATGAGTATTTATTGTTAAAAGAATTCTTAAGTACTATTATATTATCTTTTAATATGAAAAAAATTATTTTTAAATTAAACTGTCATAAAAAATGTCATTTAGATTTTTATGGTTTCTGAATCATTTTATAATATTTTGATATTGATTTATTGGTTTATATTGCTGCATATGCAAGCCTTCCCAGGAAAGGCGTGCGGTTTTTCGTCTCGTACAACCACGAAAACATTTTTCAAGTTAGAGAACGTGATCACGGCCGTTTGTGCAAGTTTTATTATATGCGTTGCTGAAAAATTGTTTTAAATTTAATAGCTACTTAAGAAATTAAAGTAAACTTAAATAGAAAACAATAATAATAGTTTAAATAATTTGTGTGTTGTTTTTATTTTTGTTTTTTCTTAGTGGTTATTATCGGCAACAAAACTCAGTAAGTCAAAGCAAAAAAAAAAGAAATATATTTGTATAATTATAATGTAACAAGTTTATATCAAGAGTTAAATTATATGATAGCGATTTGCAAACTCTGATAAAATATTAGACCTTTACCATTTTAGTTCATGCAAAGCTGTGTACTTTGTTTATAAGTAGCAAATTACTAAAAGTTTGCTAGCGAGAAAGTTACAAAAAACAAAACAAAAACAATAAACTTACGACTACAAAAGTAATAACACTTTAGTCACTAACTGCATTATTAAAGTAATAAAACTATAATAGTGTTATTAAATTTATAAAGCACTTATTACTTTTAAAGTTCATTTAAAGTTCATTCATATTATTAATTCAAAACATTTATTAAAGTAGAAAAGCATCTAGAAAAAATAAAGCGGATATTCAAATATTATTTAAAATTTCAGGAACTTTCACAGATCACTTAAACAACATTATAAAAAAGTACTTTATAAAAAGTATAGCATTATGAAAAAAGTTATGTAAAAACGCGCGTTAATTTTAAAATCAACCAATAAAAATTTTTTATTGGTTAGTTTCAAAATTAACGCGCGTTTTTACACAAGTAACATTTTTCATAATGCTAAACTTTTAATATGATACGTTTTTATAAAGTTGTTTGTCACGTATTTATAAGTTATTTAAGTTTTAATATTATTTGAACATCCACTTTATTCTTCTAGATATTTTTCTACTTCAATTAAAATTTGGGAATACTAATGTTGCTTGAACAAAGAATGAATTTTAAAAGTTATAAGTACATTATAAAAGTAATAACACTATTATAGTGTTATTACTTTTGTAATGCAGTTAGTGACTAGAGTGTTATTACTTTTGTAATTGTAAGATTATTGTTTTATTTTTTATTTTTTCGCTAACAAATTTAAGTTGATTCTCCCTTTAAAAACAAGGAACACAGTTTTGTATAAACTAAAATTTTGAATACTAGATATTTTTTCAGATTTTGCGTTTCGTATTCGCTTAATTCAACCCTTATTGTTACATTAAAATTATACAAATAAATTTTACAAACACATTGCAATTTGTATTTTTGCTATCCTCTTACAAAAAAATTAAGAAAAGGAAAATCATTCTTTTTATTGTAGACTTCAAACTATTTTTTTTTTTGCTTCACCTTATCTTATTTTGTTGCTGAATATAACAACCACTCTAAAGAAACAAAAATAAAAACAGTACACAAATTATTTAAATTATTAATTTGTTTTTATTTTTTTCTATTTCAATCTCTTTTTATTTTGTTAGTTTTTTTTTTTTCAGCATTATTATAAAACTTGCAAATGGCCGTATTCAAGTTGTCTAAAATAATATTCTAGCGTGTGGTCATACAAGCTGAAACACCGCACGCCTTTCCTGGGAAGGCTTGATATGATAAGTTACTTTAAAACAATAAGGACAATTGCATTTTAAATTAAAAATTCAAGTGATGAAAATTTTCTAGATTTAAAGGATGAAGAACAAGAGGAAAATTTACAACAGGGTAAGAACAAGAAAGAAAGTGCAGCAGTTTGGGAAGAAAATGTATCGTTTGTTCTCTTAAAATGGTTTAAACACTTGTCTACTGACATTAAGCTGACTGGCGTATCAATGGGCGTAGCTTATTTAGAGACAACAGTAAAAACGATTTTTTTAAATATAGAGATATTGTTATCCTAATTACAAAAACAAACTTCAACTTTTAAAACAAAACTATACATTTATAGTTTTGCTGTTGTTAATAAATACAATGCCCTGTCTAAATATTTAACTTCGAATAGCGAGATCTTTAGAATTACAAATCACACAAAATTAATTTTTTGGGATTTTCTTATCCATAGTGTAAGCATTTAATGTGCCTTGTTTCATATGTGCCATATTAAAGCTCATGTTATACTGCTGAGTTAGGTGAGCATAATGATGTCATATTCACCTAACGTCAAATATCCTGTTGCCGAGGACTTCAGTACATACATCGACTGACAAATAGCCTGACTTGCAGTGGAGTGCTGCTACATCGACTGAGGGTTTGGTATGGGTCAGCAACATTTTCATTCATTATTCTTCGTTTTCCCTCATCGTTTTCCAAAAACGCTCACTTAAGAGTATATTTGCGATAAAAAATATTTTTATATTAAATTTTTTTTTACTCTAGAGGGGCTGGTCCTGGTTGCAATTCTCAAGAAATTTCTGATAAACTATGTGAACTTAAAGGGGAAATAAGTAAACTTGACGCTGTTGAAACAATTCTAGATCAGCAACAGCTATGGGTTCAGCAAAGTTTAAAAAACATTTCAGAAGATCCTGAAAATGAGCGTCATGCGTATGTTTCACATGAAGATGTATGTATGTGTTTTAAAGGAGAAACATTACTTGCTATTCAAGCACCATCTGGCACGCAACTTGAAGTTCCTCCACCAGATTTTGTAAGTAGTATAAAATATATCTTTTATTAGTAATTGAAACACTTAGTTCTAATTATTGATTTGGTATCTTGCTGTGTCGCAGCTCTCTCAACAGTTTTATGTTTTAGTTTAAGCAAAATAGTATATATATTTATATATATGTGTGTGTATATATACATATATATGTGTATATATATATATATATATATATATATATATATATAATATATATATATATATATCAGGCTTGGACAGGAATGGCGTGCGATCGCACTCTGTAACTGACCACGCTAATATTTTTATTTCTTTACAACTTGACCACGGCTGTTTTGATGTTTTAACAATTTGAATGCAATAAAAAATACGTTATAAATATTTTTTAATCGTTGATCTTTTCTAAAGTTTTTTATTTTGTGTAAAGGCTTTAAATAAAACCATATAATTAATTATAGTAATTGTTTACATAAACGCTTGTGTAAATTAATAAAAAAACGTTATAAATAAGTTTTTTTATGTAGGCATTTATTTTTTATGATAAATTTAAACGTTTGAAACTATTTTCTTATGTCTTCCTAAAACATTTTTAAACCATAATTTTTAGAAATAATTTTTTTGAGTTACTTTAATTTGTAAATAAGTTCAAAAGCTTTTGTGACGACTAGCTTTTACACATTTTATGTGAATTACACAAGAATATGAAATAACTTTATTTACTTATATAAGCATGTATTTTGCTGATTTAATGAAAAAGTTTTAAAGCATTTTGTTATGTTCATACGATTAATTTTTATGATTAAGCTTACAATTTTTTAAAATGTTTTAAATAAACATTTTATTTTTTGTAATCAATTTTTTTTTTTTTTTAATTTCTTTAGGAATGAATTAGGTTAAATCTTTTATAATAATTTTTAAATTCCTTACGCGAAGCGCTTATTAATAAAGTTGTAATGCTCAAATTAAAATTAAATTAAAAAGCTTGTTGGCAGTTTATTTTATTTAAATCGCAGGCGCATTTTATTTAATTATTTTTTTCTATTTTTACGAATAAAAAAGTTCAAAACCTTTTTTTTAAATTAGACTCAGTAATTAGAGCATAAAATTAGTAAAAATTACTATATTAAAAAGACTACGTTATTTTTTTAAACATTTTTTTTTTTGCAACTTTTTTGACAAAATAAATGTTTATAGTATAAACATTTTGTCAAAAAAGTTTTATATAATATTTTTAAATTGTATAAACTTTATACAATTTAATAATATTATATAAAACACTTTTTATTAAATTTAATAAAATTCGTTCTTTTATTAAACCAATCATTAGTAGTAATTTGTTACTTAATTTAAAAACGTTTTGCGTAACTTTAACGCTTAAAAAGCTAAGCTTTAATAACGTTTATTTCATACGTAATTAAAAATGTATCAAAAAGTTTTGCTTCGAGATTAAGTTTTTATTTTCATTTTAGTGCTTATATAATTTCTTTTTCGTTACAAATTTGTTTTTCATTTCTGTTTTTTTTTCATTAGTTTTTTTTTTAAATTTTTTTCCTAGTTTAAGTTTAGCTTAGCGTTTCAGAAAGACATTCAGAACATTTCTGAAATTTTTAACTCATCAAAACATATAAACATTGTTTATTAAACAATCTTGGTCAAGTTGTCAAAAAATAAAATCGTTTGCGTGGTCAGCAATAGCACTCGATCGCACGCCATTCCTGTCCTAGCCTGATATATATATATATATATATATATATATATATATATATATATATATATATATATATATATATATATATATATATATATATATATAAATTAGTAGAAAATCACTTAGCAAATTACTTCTACTAATTTGTTCTTTAATTTTAATTTGTTTATATATATATATATATATATATATATATATATATATATATATATATATATATATATATATATATATATATATATAGTTAAATATTTATATTAACTCATGGCTCACTAATCTAATAATGACTTGCTTTAAACAAAAAATGCATATAAAATAAATTTTTCTATAGCTGTCAAAACTATATAGAAAAATTTTTGCTCATCATTATTGTTATGATAAAAACTAAGTAGCTTTATATCTATATAAAATTGTGTTTATAAAATATTTAACATGTTTTTTGTTGAATGTTGGATTTTGTTTAGCATCTATTTTTATTTATTTTTTCAAATTGTTTTTCACATGGTTGTATTTTAAACTTATGTATAATCTTTTCTTTTTTCAAAAAATGTTTACTTTGTTTAAGTTTAACAGAGAAGAACTGTGCTATTTACTTCTGCCAAGATCTGCCACTAGGCTCCATGGTTTCTAAATAATATAAAAAAAGGTCAGATCAGGTTATCTTGCTACTGGTAACATGTAACCCAGTAGAACCTTTAAAATAAAAGTTGTCCTTGATTGACAGCACTCTTCTTCTTATTCTGTAACTTCAGGGGTTCCTCAAGGTTCTATCCTTGGCCCTATATTCTTTTTAATTTACATTAATGATCTTCCAGGTATTCTCACATCTAAGGTGGCATTATTCGCTGATACTACCATTTATTCTTGTCTTAATAAGTAGCCAACACTCTCTGATTGCTTTGATGGGACATTTGAGCTTGAGAGGGATCTCACTTCTTCTACAGCATGGAGCTTACAGTAGCTGGTGAACTTAAATTCAGATAAAACTCAATTTTTTCAGCCAATTGTTATTACAATAATTTAGGCCTTTCTATATTTATGAATGGTAAATATACTGGATGAGTCATCTACCCTTCATCTTCTAGGATTAGCTCTTCCAATCTTTCTCAGAAACTGTATATTCGATTGCAAATTTAGCATCTGCTAAAGTTGCATCTCTTTATCAAGCTTAACACTTTCTTATACTGGATTCTATTTTTTATCACTATAAATCCCAAATCCGTCCATGTATCCGGAGCGGATCTTTTAATGATTCTCTTTCTCTTTTAGACTAGGTGCAAAAATGCATTGTAAACATAGTTGGACCTGCTCTTGCAGCCGACCTCCAATCATTGTCACATCGTTGTAATGTTGCTTGTTTTTCTGTTTTATACAAATTTTATAATGGACACTGCCCTAAAGAGCTAGAGTCTCTTGTGCCATCTGCTAAAATTCATTCTCATGTTACTTGTCATTCAAGTCTCATCCTTTTTCTGTGACTGTTCCTAAGTGCTCCAAAAACTCTTATTCCTTTAGTTTTTTTCCTCAAACATCAGTTCTTTGGAATTCGCTTCCTTCATCTTGCTTTTAATAAAAGACTTATCAATAGAAATGTTAAATAAATGTAAATCCCGTAAACATATTCAAAGTTGTTAAGGTGTTGAAATCCTAGAGTTTTAAGATTTTTGGTTTATTTTTATAAACAATATTTTTGTTACAAGTTCATAATAAGGCGTAACATTATGGTCGTCCTGTAGTATGGGACATCTCGTTTATACAAAGGCAGACTGAAATTTAGTAAAAATACCATTTAGTAGTCCAGCAGGATGACCAGTCACTTATTACTCACAAAAGAGTGGTTAGTAAGAAAATTTGAACTATGAAAAGTTTATTCCTTGTGGTTTTTTAAAAAATTAATTTAAAGTAGTTATGCACTACATTACAATATTTATTTTTACTAAATGTAAAAAAAAAGAAGCCAACTTAAATTAAATTAGACATGCATGTGTTTTAAAGTGCAACTATCATAATTTAAAAAACGTTATAGTTGCATTTTGAATCATGTTTTCTTTTCAATTCAAAATAGCATTTTTTCTTTTAAATCAAAATACTAATAAATCATTTTTTAATATGTTATATTCGCATTTTAAATCACATGAGTGTTATTAATTATTGACAGAAATTTCTTTCTAAATAAAAATGTTTTAAATAAAAATTTTAACTAGTTTAAACGAAATAAAACAAAAAAGTATAAGTATTATATTGTCATAGTTGATATTAAAAAATAAAACTGTGACAAAAGCAACTTTATTTATTAAATTTATTTTTAATTTTACAGTTTCATATTTTTCGTATATTAGTTGTCCAATATTTTAATTGACTTTTTTTAGTCTTTTTCCACTGCAATATTTTAGTTGCTCTATTAGCGATTGGACAAATACTTAAGGTTACACCACTAGCAGACTTTTTTTTGTCGTGTTAGCTTTTGCTGAAATCTTTAGTTTTACTATCTAGCCCTTAAGTTGCCAAAATTGTTTTTTGGTTGAAAAAAATAACTGAAAACTTTTTACCTAGTGCATTTTAATCTAACCTATAAAATTTTTTTTGTAATATAAAACAAAATAATTTTTTTATAACAATATGTTTTAATTTTTTTTTATAACATTGTGTTTTGAATTTTTTTATTTAAATGATATAATATTTTTTTTACATAAATATATTTTATGGGTCCATTAGGTATCAATGTTATCCACAAATGTGTTATGATAAATTGAAAATTGTCTTTTATTCTGTATTAATCACATTATATACACCCACATAAAATTTTCTTACAGACACTTAATGACTTACATACATTACCTCCTTACATACATACCTCCTTCTCAGGAGGCGCGTGCGGTCGCACGCGCCTCCTGAGAAGGCCTGTATGAGTGTTAATAGAACAAGTGTTCACGTAGATGTATGTAAGTGAACACGTAGATGTATGTAAGTCATTAAGTGTCTGTAAGAAAATTTTATTTGAATTGAATGACCACACATATATATTTTGTTGATAACATGGCCACGATTTTTTTTGCATTTATTAAAAATGACGCGTTTTAAAAATACGCTGAAAAAATCAAACTAATTAATCTTATTGTTTGTTTTTTTTATTATTAATATTTTATTATTATAATTATTTATGAGAAAATAAAAACCTAACAGTAATGCACATATATATATATGTAGTTAATGATAAAATAATATATAAGTATATATATACTTTTATTTGTATAAATATATATATATTTTTATTTGTTTTCATGCATTTAATAAAATTCTAGCAATTTTTCATTAAGTTTTTGTTTACTAAATGAATTATGTCATTAAGTAATTATTATTTCTTCCTGTTGGCTTGACAAGGTTTTAACTGAAACTTTTTATATAAGGAGAATTAAAAAAAAAATCTTTTTTTTTGTATGTATTAAAATTATTATTATTATTTTTTTTTTTGTTTGTTTGTTTATGTACTATTATTTTGGTTGACATATAGATGTTTAGAAAAGATTTAAATATTTAAAAATTTAACTTATCAGCATTTTAAAAATTCAATCTTTTAAATAAAAAAGCAATACGCATAAACATAAGAAGTGTAAATAAAAACTTCGACAAACCAATGACTCAATTAAGTAATAATAAAGACTAAAATATCTTTCTGAAGTTGCTCTTGGTCTTGTGAAAAAACTATTTCCGGTTTGATAACTTTCATGAATGTTATGAAAAGTCACTCAGGAAGAGTGCCACCAGTTTTTAAAAAATTTCTTTGTTAATTACTTTTAATGAATGAGTTCAATACTTATGCAATTCTTTTGTTACGTAACATTAACTCATAATAATAGATAAAAAAAAATCATGATAACCGCTCAATAATGTAAGTGATGTAATTTAAGTAAAAAAATACAGTATCAAAAAAACAAGTTTATTTAAAAAAAGTTTTTATAAAATTTTTAAATTGGTATAGAATTCTTTGCATTTTGTAAAAGTTTCTAATACAAACTGCTTTACTGATTCGCAGAAATAAGACCTATAAGTTGAATTTGTTTTCCGTGTAACATAAGTGCAAGTGGCATTTTTAGTAATAAGTTTGCTCTCTTTCGGCCGAACTCAAAACTTTTAAGCTTATTTTATTTAGTAGACTAACAGCTTTCATACAAAATTGCTAAAAGTTTAATTTAAAAGTTTAAATAAGCAAATATTTGATAAAGTTGTTGCACGTGTAATGTAAGTTAAAAATGGAATTGCCCATATATGTTATTTTAATGTTTTTATTTTCTCATTCATAACTATAATAATGAATTATTAATAATAATAATAAAAAGATGAGCAATTAATTTGGTTTTTTCAGCGCATTTTTAAAAATGCGTCATTTTTAATAAATGCAAAAAAAATTGTGGCCATGTTATCAACAAAAAAGTATATATGCGTGGTCATTCAAGGCGTGCAACCACACGCGTCTCCTGAGAAGGCCTGCTCATATAAACACTTATCTTTCATATATCCACTTAAACATTTATCTTGTATATACTTTTTTGGTTTTATGATTTTTTACAATGTGGTAAATGTAGTTTGTTTATTTTTATCAGTTAGGCCATACAGCTAATTATCAAATGCACTTAAACAGTGAAAATGGACCTATTTGTGTACTATTGGTAAATCATGATGCAAAGTCAGATGTGCCTGTTGTTACAAATGTCTCACCTGAAAGTCCAAACAACTGTGCTGAATGCATGGTTAGCACCAAAGATAGAGATGCATTAAAAACAAATGGTGAAGATATGGAAACTGATGGTATGGATAAGTTTTTTTTTTTTTTTTTTTTTTTCATTAAATGTTTACCTTTTCTTTAAAAAATATAAGGTTTTTACTTTTAAAGCAGAAATTTAATGTTTATTATTAAAAACAGAAACAAAACTTGTTGATATTACTTAAATTGCAATATTCATAATTATGGTAGTTATTATGAATATTGCATAATTATGTCTAATGGTAGTAATTAAGTGTAATCATAAAAAACTAATTTCGTTATTAGTGTTACTGCATCACAATCGTTTAAAGTTAAAAAATTAAACTTAAGAACATAAAATTTAATGACCAAATTAGGGATATACAACTTGCATTATATTGTACTTCTTCACAGGGTGTTAACCAGAAATTAGAAAATTATTTGGAGAAACTGATTTTTTAAAAATTTAAATTGAAAGTTTTAATTTTATAAACATTTAGTTTACACCCTCAACAAATTAAACTTGAAAACATAAAATTTAATGACCAAATTAGGAATATATGATTTGCATATGATTTATTTTATGTTAACTATCATGCAATAATTTTATTTTTCCAGGTTTTAAAAAAAAAATTATTTTATCAGAAAATGCTAAAGTTATTTAGAAACTGGAATTGATTTAAATTGAAGAATCAAATAAACTATTATGATTGAAATAGGAATGAAAAAGTTAAAATTTTTTTAATTGTTTTAAATTTTAATTTAGATCCAATACTCACCAGCAATATTAGTGACCCTCAGCATTCAAAAAGGATCTCAGGTAATGTGTTTAAAAATGTTTTCAAAGAAATGAAGTTAACAAGTAACAATGTGGTTATGCTTGCGCTATATTTATTTGACTATATAGAGTAAATTTTCTTTATTTATTAAGTTTTAACAAAAAGTCATATAAGATTTTTAATTTAAAAAATGCTTAATAAGCCTTCCCATGAAAGGCGTGTGGTTTTTTGTCTTGTATGACCACACATGAGTATTTTATTTTAGAAAACTTGGTCACAGCCGTTTGCAAGTTTTTAAATATGCGTTGCTGACAAAAGTTTTTAAAACAATATAACAAAATAGGAATTTAAAATAAACTTAAATAGAAAATAATAATAACAATAATTTAAATAATTTGTGTACTTTTTTTATTTTTGTTTCTTCATAGTGGTTATTATTTTTTGGTAACAAAATTCGGTAAGTCAAAGCAAAAAAAAATAATTTTAAACGTTTAAAAGAATGATTTTCCTATATTTTGGTTTTTTTTTAAAGGGGAAAACGAAAATAAAAAATTGTCATCTGATTGTAAAATATATTTGTATACTTTTAATGTAACAATTATATATCAAGGGGTGAATCAAGCGATCGCGATTTGCAAACCCTGAAAAAATATCTGATCTTCAAAATTTTAGTTAATGCAAAGCTGTGTACTTTGTTTTCAAGGAGCAAATTATTATAATTTTGTTAGCGAGAAAAATATAAAAACAAAACAAACAATAAACTTACGACTACAAAAGTAATAATACTCTCGTCACTAACTGCATTATAAAAGTATTAAACTATAATAGTGTTATTACTTTTATAAAGCACTTAAAACAAAGAATGAATTTTAAAAGTTATAAGTGCGTTATAAAAGTAATAACACTATTATAGTGTTATTACTTTTAGAATGCAGTTAGTCACTAGAGTGTTATTACTTTTGTATTTGTAAGTTTATTGTTTTATTTTTTATAACTTTTTTGCAAACAAATTAAAGTTGATTCGCCCCTTGAAAACAAAGAACATGTTTTTGTATAAACTAAAATTTTGAAGACCAGATATTTTTCAGATTTTGCATTTCGCTTAATTCAACTCTTGTTGTTATATAAATATATTTTACAAATACATTGCAATTTATATTTTCGCTTTGCTCTTTTAAAAAAAGGAAAATAAAGGAAAATCATTATTTTTAATGTAGACTTAAAACTTTTTTTTTTTTTGCTTCGCCTTATCTAATTTTGTTGCTGAATATAACAACCTAAAGAAACAAAACACTCTAAAGAAACAAAAATAAAAACAGTACATAAATTATTTAAATTATTAATTTATTTTTATTTCCTATTTTGTTAGTTTTGCTTTTTTTGTTTTTAAAACTTTTTCAGCCATGATTAATATTATAAAACTTGCAAATGACCGGGATCAATTTGTCTAAAATAATCTCATCTTTTTATTTTTAGAAGAAAAATATTTTATAACATTTATTTAATTAAATTTATACTAAACATAAATACACATATTTGTTTACTAAATATTACACATAACAAGTTTATTTTTTATTTGCCAATTTATTTTAGCAAAAAATCAGAATAAATACAGCTAAATGAACACTTTATTTAAATTCTAGATAAGATAACTAAACTAAAACAAAGCAAATTTTTTATTATTTATTTCATAATAAAATAAAAACGGCAAAGCGAACATTTTATTTAAATTCTGAATTAACTAGTTAAAATAAAAATGACAAAACAAACGCTTTATTTAAATTCTAAGTAAGATAAGTAATATAAAAATGGCATAACAAATATTCATAAAATTTTATAAATTATTTATAGACATTTTAAATTAAAAAATAATGTAATTATTTTTACATTATTTTTTAATTTAAATATCATACATTAAACTGTTTTTTATCAAAATATTTGATGAAAAAGATTTGTCGCAAGTTTACAAAAATAGCTGTAATTTTTTTTTTTTTTTTTTGGGAAGCATTTTTTTAAGCGCTTACTAAAGTACTAAAGTATTGCAGGCGAGCTTGAGCTTGGTAGAAGGAGTAACAATAATAAATAACTGCATAAGTAATAACAACAATAATGAATAACTGCATAAATTTTTAGTATCTTTAGAAGCTGGAAGGACGAAATTCATTTTAATTAAATTTAAGAGAAAATTATTTTGGCAAAAAGTTAAGAAATCTTTAAAAAAAAATTTTTTTTTTATAACAATGTGTTTCAATTTATAAAAATGTGTTTCAATTTATAACAATGTGTTTCAATTTGTAACAATGTGTTTCAATTTATAACAATGTGTTTCAATTTATAACAATGTGTTTTTGATTTTGAATTGAATTTGAGAAAAAATTGAAATCTTTAAAAAATTGCTTGGACTAAATTTTTTTTTGATTAAAACAAACTAACTTTGTAGTTTTAGTGTGATTTTTAAGTCTTTTTATTTTATTTTTAAATATACATTGCAATCTACAGAAGTTTTACAATGACATCATTTACTAAAATTAAATGCACTTGAATAAATTATAAAAACAAACTTATTAACAAGATTTGAAATGGCAAACAGTAAAATGTTGGACAATGGCAAAAACATTGATTTGGTATATTTAAATTATTTGTATATTACAAGACACTTATGGAGAAAACATTTAGGTGCACAAAGCATTAATTAAAGATCTTGAATCAATCTGTCAAAATGCCAATGCAGCAATGAATGGTAAAATTAAAAGCAAGAAACCATGGGAGCGATGCTTAAGGCCAGTACAACTACTCACTGACAGTGATTGCAAAAGTAAATGGTGAAAAATCAAGAATAAAATGTTGGATACGGGTGCTGGAAGTTTATATATGTGTACAGGCTTGGTCGGAAAGCGGGAGCAATTGCTCTTAATTACTGACCACGGAAATAATATTTAGTTGCAAAAAACTTGCCAGATTTTTTAGTTGTGCGCTAGATTGATTGGACCGATAAGAGACAATTAATTAAAATGCGCTGATTAATTGGACCGATAAGAGACAATTACAAAAAAAAAAAAGTTAGGAAAATAAAATATCTTTTAACGCAAAAAAACATAAAGCAAAATAAATTACATTTAGAACAAATATTTTTGAAACATCGGTCTTTTATAATTTCTTTATAAAATTAAGCGACATTTATTATATAAAGTAACATCTTGCGATTGTTTAAAAAGGAAACAAATGTTCTTTGTTTAACAAAGAGTGTAATATAATTTTTATTTACATACTCGTGTCTTATTTCCAGTGCTAGATTGAGAAGGGTAGGGTTAGAGAGGGCTATAGCCCTAGGCCCCACAACATTAGGGCCCCAAAAAAAGACCTTTTTGTTTAGTTATTTTTACTCTGTAGCACATAAAATGACATCCAAAATAAAAATAGCCCTGGCCCTGTAAAGTCTAACAAGATTTTAATAAAACTAACACAAGTTTTAGTTTTATCTAAGCTAAATTATTTTATAAATAAAAAAGTTAATTTTTTTAATAACTATTTTATGCTTCGCGTAGTTTCGAAAAGTTTAACATATTTGAAGCACTTCTACTTAGTAAGATAAACAAATGAAATAATTAAATAATTGAATTATTATAGAAATTAAATTAACAAGATAGAAATCAACTAAATAGGTTAAAAATACTTTATGATGATGAAGCGAAACTGCTTCGCAATATTGCTGATAATATTTAGTGCGTGGGCTTTTTAATTTTAATTAGTATTTAAAGCAGAAAAAAATATAACGAATTTTTAAGAATGGCAACTGTAGCAAAAATAGTTAGAGTTAGTAAACCAATATCTGAAAACTTTTCATTATATCTAGTAACTTGCTATACATATTTATGTTCTGTTGTGACCTTAGGCACAATGCTTTTCATCCGAGAGTTACTTAGTATGCATGTTACTTTGTATGAATTGTTTGTGTTTAGTAACCAGAAACTTCTTATATGTTTATTACATAATTAGTTTTATTAACTTTGATGATTATTAATAACTTTATTGAAAACACAATTATTTTTGAAAGTCTTTGTTTACAAAGTAAATCATAAAAATTGCTTTAAAAGATTACATTACAATAAAAAAAAGTTACACAAGATTACATTTACATTAAAAATACATACTTTTTAAATAAAAAATAAGAATATACTAATAAAATCTATAATTTATAATTAACTTTAAAAATTTTGACAATTTATAAAATATATATTATGAAACATTTATTTTTATAAACAAATAATCATAGTTTAAAGCCAAAAAAGATTTATGGCTTTGCAGATATGGCTCCGAGAATGAGCCATAGTTTTAAAGTTCATTTAATAATATATTCTTAAAACAATTTATGCTAGAAATTTCAAAACGTAACAAATCATGAATAATACAATTTCTAAAACATTTCAATAGAATACTCTGGAACTTTATTTTGCTTGGTCAGCGTATTTTTTGAACCAATAGCATTAGTTTGTTTGTAGATTTGGCGGGTTTTTAGTGTTTGCGAATATTCTTTTTATTTTTCCGCATCAAAATGTTTTGTGAACATTCAAGTTTATTATGTTTCCATGTATGTCCGTAAAACAAATTTTTTTGTTACATACATAAACTTAAATGTTCTCAAAATGACTAAAAACCCTGGCCAGTTTATTGCAAGTAAATATTATTTCCGTGGTCAGTATTCAAGAGCGATTGCTCCGGCTTCCCAACCAAGCCAGGTATACGAACTTGTTAACAAAACTGAAGTTAAAACTTTTTTACCCAATCTGATGGTCAAAGAAGTAAAAATGAAATTTGCAAGTTGAGGAAACTGAAATCCAGTGGCAATGTAGGAAGCAATGAATTGCAACCTGTTCACATAATACTCTGTGCTACTGATTATCAACAAATAAAAACTACGGAACCGGGTATTATCAAAAAAGACCCAGTTAAGAATCCAGTAGCAGGGAGATGTACACAATTCTAGGGAGATGTACACAAGATGTAGCAGGGAGATCTACACAACTCTAGCTGAAAGATGTACACAATTAAGTTCAGTTATTAAAAAGATTTTCTTATTGAACACTGGTCATGGGGATACTTGGATTATCTGACAAAACAGTAATATAATGTTCCACCAAAATTTAAGCAAAAAAGTGCTCCAAACCAAGGAAGTATGTTATGAAACTAGAAAAGCAACATAAAACTGCAAGAGATTAAAGCTTAGTGCATATTAAAGATGATGTAAAAAACAAAGCACTTATCGATATTAGACTATTTAAAAGCAAAATTGAAGGTAAAGATAGAGTCAAATGTGGTTTTAAAGTATGATCAGGAAACAGTATGTGATTGAACAACCAATTCAATTGGTGTACCGTAGATGGGGGTAACTAAAGCCACTTTCGAAATTCAAGCTTCTGCCCAAGTCAGACCCTTTAATTTATAGGTTAAATAAATATTGCAAAACTTGGGTCTGTGGTCATATATTAAAGAAATATATTCATAAATTGCAGAAATATACATTTTTTTAATAAAAAAAAATGAAAACATGGTGGCTTTAGTTACCCCTGGAAAAGGGGTAACAAAAGCCATCCATTAAAAAGCAATGTTTGGCTTAAGTTAGAGAGTGCTAGAGTAACTAAATCCATAAATCATGCATCTGTAACAATAAAGAATCACTATTGACAAGAAAAAAGCTTTATTATTTAAGAAAAACATTAAAAAGAGACAAAAATATTATTTAAAATAGGTCTTGTTGAAATCAGTGCTTTACCGGTAGTTCATTAGGAAAAGTATAACGTCCTCTGTTTACTTCGGATGGTTTCACAATTGAAATGACGTCTGTTAACTGAATGTCCATTTCGTCATCAACATTTGGAAATATATAGTCATTTCTTTTTGATTTGGAGCTTCTTCCGAAAAACTTTACTGTAACTTCGTTCTTCTCAAAACAAGTTCTAAGAATGACTCCATAGAACTGTTTGGTGGTTTCTTTTTTTGTGTTCTTTTCAAAGATGAGCTCAACAATGACGTAAATATCAGGTTTAAGTTCTCCTTTAGAGACTCCTATTTTGGGGGGTTCGTCATAAGTTGTTTCTTCTAGTTGTAGATCTACTGGTATCTCCAATTCCAGGTCACTAAATGTTTTTGGATCCATATCTGAATTAGAGTCTCTCAAAGAATACTGGTCATCACTATCATCAAATGAGTCGGAATTCGCAAGTTTCTTATTATGTTTCAAAGTCTTTAGTTTGCTGTGGTTTTCCTTTGTTTTGGTATTGGGTGTATTGGACCTATTTGGTTGAGGATCATCATCATTGATCAGAATTGTGTCTTCAATCCCTTCAATCTTTTCAATCCACCTTTCCTGCTGGGACATTAAGTTTCCTTTTCTTCCGTTGTTTAAGAGGTTCGGTCTCTCTCTTCCTACTTTCTTCAAAAAAGGCTTTGATAGAATCAGTCCAGTTGTTGCTTGAATTAAGCTCTTCAGATACTGCAGTGGCATCACCATCAGGAAGCCTTTTCAGAATTTCATTTTGGTCTAAAGGTACAATACCAGCTGCCTAAAGTCCACTTTTTAAGTTTTTGCTTATGTTTTCCTCTCCCAAAGCATCAAGGCACTTTTTCAGAAGTCTTGGAAACCTGTCTTTTTGAACCTAACTTCATTTCGGCCACACCGATCCAGGTAACCTTTCACTATTAGTCTTATGTCTAGTGCTGTAAGAGGGAATCCCCACTCTCCGGCCATGCTTATAGATTCAACTAATCTTCTTTCTTCTTCAGAATTAAGAACTGGAAGCCTACCACATTTGTTAACCTCACCTTTCAGGGCAGCAGTGAGAGCAAATCTTGATATAGCAAATTTCTCAGCAATCTTTCTTAAAGATGACCCTTTCTTCACTTCTTCTACAGCTATTTTCAGCGTTTCATCTGTGTAATCCTAATACTTCCGACTACCAAGCTTCTTCTTTGGGTTTTGAGGCATTTTTAGTCCTAAAAAAGAGAAAAAATTTATTACTTAAGGAATTTTGACTTATTATAAAGTATGGGGTAACAAAAGCCACCTTTATGATGTGGCTTTAGTTACCCCATGTTGTGTATCACTGAAAAAAAAAAACATCACAACAAAAGAAAGAATCAAGTTATAGGTTATAACCTTTAAAAGTGTGATGAAACATAAATTGAGGTTATGTTTGTTGAGAGTTATGAGAATTTAACATTAAAAATGATTTGTTCAGAGCAGAAGTTATGCAAGGTAACTTTTTTATCGATTTTTTAGGTTAAATATATAGTTTTACTGTATACTTACCGTGATATTGTTTTAATAATCCAGACAAGTATTTGGAAAGCAGTCCAAGTTCCTATTAGAAGAGCACAACATCAGCTGTTGAATCCAAACAGTGCTGCCACTATCACCATCCAAAAATTGCCTGCTATAATGGCTTTATTTTCCCTGTAGGCTTTAGTTACCCCCATCTACGGTATGACCTGGAAATAGACTGTGAAGTAAAAATGTAATTGAACTGAAAGAAAGTGTGGAAAGTCAAGCAAAAGCAGAAACCTTGAAAGGAGCAACAAAATGGGCTAAATTGGATGCACTACAAAAGATCAATTGCATTGTGGGATACAGATTGCTGATTAAAACTGAAGTTTTAGCTTCAGGGGGAAGGTGTTGTGAGTGATGTCTTCCAAGCTTCTAGAAACAATTAGTGGTTGTGCTTGAGTATTAAAGTTGATGTATTTATAGTGATGTGGTCTTTTTTGTACATATATTAAGGTTGATATTTATTAATAATGTTCGCAGTCAGATGGTAATACAATAACAATAAATAAATTGATAAACAAATGAAATCATTAATGTATCAGGGAAACTTATAATTCCCCACAGTAGAATGATTTCACAACTTACTACTAAAATATTTTTAAACATCTATAAAAATCTTTTTTGATTGATGAAAGGTCATTATAAGTTGGTTCGTTAAACCTCTTTTAGATTTAAAAAAATACTTTTAATATGACTATTTCTTATGTCATAAGACATAAAACCTAAGCAAAGCTGGATGATTTACATACTAAATGCCTGTCACATAATATATAAAAATATTTTTGCCATTAATCAAAGTAGGGCTTATATAATTTAACTTTATTTATTTTAATAAGTTGATTTTTATTGATTGTCGATTACTTGTTTTCAAATATTTTAATTATTTTTTTTTTAGATGAAATAGAAGATATGAATTTAGATCAATTTTGTAAAGAAAATGAGTGTAAGTTAGATGTTTGTAAACAAATAAAGTATAAACTATAACACAAAAGCAATTAAAAAAAAAAAAATGTGTAAATAGCAATACAAGTGTAAAAATAAAATTACTTGGTCTTGATCTTTAAAACAGGTTAGGGAATTTTTTACAATTAAATACCAGGAAGGATATTTAGTTGTAAAAAATTGCTTTTTCTCTTCCATAATGTTATATTTTAACAAGGAAATGGTATTTTAGTAATGTTTTAAACTACACAAGTGTTAAATTGTTAAACTTTAAAAAAAAAAAAGTGAAAAGATATACATATACGTATTAAATGTTCATGACTAAAATAAAAACAGGTTTGGACAGTTCATAAATAAAGGATTATGTATTGTAAGCGAAAATCTATCATTTCAAAAAATGTATATATTTTTTATCTTTTATTTTTCTTATATTTATTATTCTTAAGTTGTTGAAGCATTAGGTTTGTAGCATTAACTTTGTTATGTTACTATCCAGTTAAGTGATAACTGGATTTCTTAGTAATTTTTCTTAGTAATAATTTTAAATCAGTTTTATATAATATTTAATAAATATAAAAATAATTTAAATAAGAAATAAGTATTATTTATAATTTGTAATCAAATAATATATTTAATTTTTTCAAAAAATTAATCAAAGTTTTTTATATTTTTTTCGATTTTTTTTTTTAATGTTTTAATTATTAAATAGATTTTTAATTGTAAAACAATTTTTTGTTAATTTATTTAATGAATTTTCTGGTAAATGTTTTTTAATACTACGAGAAGGCTATAAAAAAAAAAGTTCATTGTTTTTTAATACTATGAGAAGGCTATAAAAAAAAAAGTTCATTGTTTTTTAATACTATGAGAAGGCTATAAAAAAAAAGTTCATTGTTTTTTAATACTATAAGAAGGCTATAAAAAAAAATGTTTTTGATTTTTTTAGTGTTTGCTCCTCTCCTTCGACTGTCACCTCCCCCAGGAGAACATGATTATTATTTTAACCTTGATGATAATGAAGGTGTTTGTGACTTGTTTGATGTTCCTGCATTGAAAGTATGATATTAGGGTGGCATAGTTGAAGAAGTCATCATTATATGAAACATGTTTCACAAAGTATAATCCTAAATTTCAGCATGGAATATGAAAATGCTTAAACAAGCTGTTATATGTATGCTTTAAACTTTTGAAACAGTGATGAAATCAGTTTTGAAAGGATTTGGATAGAAAACTAACTTCAAGTTTAGGAGAGACAATAATTCAAGAATCACGTTCTACACAATTTTGTAGTTTTTAATAAGTTTGATCAAGTTTATCTTAAAAAAAAACTGCTGTACAGTTATTCAAAGAACTTCAGAAAGTTTATAGGAATTTCATAAATTTATTTTATGGGAAAATGTTCTTAATATGTTTATCATTTGTACCCAGAACATTTTAATGCAATTATCTGCAGAATATTTTTATTTATGCAGTGTTTACAGTTTGCAGATTTATTTGTAGCAAAATTAAATTTGTATTGAGTAAAGTTCTCTTTAAATTATTTATCTTTTATTTTTAAAATTAGTAGAACATTATTTATAACAACTGAAGTTCCTTTCATTTATTTATTGTTGATATTTTTGCATCTTATAGAAAGTGTCATATAGCTTTATATAAAATAACTGTTTATAAGTATTTATAAAATACTATATAAGTATATATATATATATATATATATATAAATTTTTTTTTTTTTTTTTTTTTTTTTTTTTTTTTTTTTTTTTTTTTGTATTTCAATTTCAGTGTAATTAGTGTTTAAAAGAAGATTTAAAAATTTTTCAATAACTTTTTAATAACTTTTGCAGTTTGCAAATCATTTGTTTAGAAATACTGCTATCGTGTTGAAAATAGAAATACTGCTATCGTGTTGATATTCAAGTTAAAAATATTGAGTTTTTATTTTAATATAGAGTTTTACATAAAAAGTTTTTTTGTTACTGTCTGTTGACATTATAAAAATGATGCTATATGATGAAAATTTTGTCAGCAATTTTGTATAAGTTGAATTTACATCAATAATTATATTGATTTTCAGGACATCCAAAACACTTGTAGAATTTCAAAAAGCAAATAATAAAATATAATCATTTACAAATTCTTTTAAATATAATTTGTACTGAAAATTGAGGTTATATTTTTTTAAAAATGGGTAAGGTTGAGTATATTGATGTCAAAAATTTTTACAACATATTTTTTAAATTTGATACAGTTGTTTTAGATATTAAAACTTGAAAGTTTTAGACAGTAAAACTTGAAAGACGAGAATTGTTATTGGGAGAACTAAATGTATAAAAATATATGGAATTCCGAATATTTCTGGAATTCCGGATATTTTTTTCAACTTTTAGTTTTTCCCGATATCCAAAACATTTTCAATACATGCAAGTTGAGGTATATATTTTTGTAATATATTGATTTTTTAAGCTTTTTCACTCATCACTCATAGAAAAATAATGAAAATTGTCAAAAAAAAAATTAGAAAAACTTAGCTAAAAGCGAAATTAAAAAGAAAATAAGGGAAAACAATTCTGTAATTTTTCTGGATATTTTATTCAAACAGTTTTCTGGATTTTTAAAATATGACTAGGATGATCTATAAAGTATTATATAAGTATTTAAATATTTAAAGCTGGAGTTTAGGTTAAAAATTAGGGCGCCCATACTGGTATACCGTTATCAAAATTAGCCTGGATACATCAGCAAGTGTGTATATTTTTTAAAATTGTCTTTTCTACAATTATTTTGATGCTTTTATCTGAAATTAAGTAAAACTGTCAAGTTAAAATTAAGACTTTTTAAAAACTTTTTATCAAAATTTTTTTTTCTTTTAATTTTTTATATATTTTTAGATTAATTAAAGTATGTTTGTAGAATTATACATGAAAAATAAAAATAGAAGAGTAAATTCAAAATGCCTAAGCGCCATTTATATTCAAGTAAAGTATTCATATTTATATTTTAGAAAATTGTTATAGTTATTTTATTTATTTTAAGTTATTAGATTTTGTCTTATAAAAATAAGTTTTTTCCTTAGGTCCTGAACAGCCAAGTCACTCTGGTCGTAGAAAATTTAGAGGCAATGATACTGAGACATCTTTTCCAATGCCACAAACTGAACGTCAGCAATTAGCTTATTTATTATCATTAACTGCAAATGAAGTGAAATGTGAAACAAATGAGGGACCTGAAGTACTTGCAAATGAAACAAAAAAACGAAGTAGAGACAAACTGTCTAGCATCAATAAACCTAAAAATAAAAGTGGTGAGACACAACTACATCTTTGTGCTACAAAGGGAGATTTAGATATAACTAAAAGCTTAGTTCGAAAAGGAGCTGATGTTAACTGCAGAGATAACGCTGGTTAGTTTTTTTATATACATTTTTCATATACAATAATACATTTTCCATATACAATAACATCATAAATCGAACACTTTATTGCAAACCAATAGTTTTAACAAATTTGAATGTAAAGTTTTTTGTCTTGCCTTGTTTATGCTTTTTGGCTCAATGTGTGTTTGTTTTTTTCATTTTCACTTCTAATAAGTCTGCAAACAACAGCTGTTATAGTTGGAAGTTACTGGAGGAGAAAAGATGAAGTTTTTAAAGCAAGATAACTATTTTTTTTAAAATTTTAGTTCACCTCCCCAAGGCTGAGAAGGCCACTACAGACGAGGAGGCTACTTGTGGTTATAACCCTTTCTCAACTCTATAACTGCGAAACACGATCCTTGACGAAAAAGGTCGCTGCGCAGAGAAACAAGTTAAGGGCGGTACTACCAGGGATGTGGTGGTGTTTGAACTCGAAACCTTTTGTTTATGAAATGAGCGCTCTACCACTACACCCCTACCACATTTTATTTATTATTACATGAATCAGGAAAAGAAGCCAATTCCAAAAAACTGATGCTCGAGGAAAAAAATTTGACAAATTTTTGGTGCAATTACAGTATAAGTAACAATTACAGTATAAAGATAGGACTGAATTGAATGGCAAATAACACAAGAATGAATTTTAATAGATAGCACAAGAGACGCTATCTAATAGTTTAGATTTTCCTATATTTATGAACAATAATGTACTCGATGAGTCATCTACCCTTTATCTTCTAGGTTTACCTCTTACTTTTAATCTTTCTTGGAAAGAGTAATCGAATCCATTGCAAAAAAATCTGCTAAGGTTGCATCTCCTTATCGTGCTCGACACTTTCTTACCTTGGATTCTATTCTTTATCTCTATAAATCTTAAATCTGTCCTTGTATGGAATACTGTTGCCATATATGGGGAAGATCTGGAAAAGGTGCAAAAACGCATTTTAACCATTGTTGGACCTGCTCTTGCAGCCACCCTCTAACCATTATCACATTGTCATAGTGTTGCTTCTCTTTGTCTTTTCTATGAATACAATAATGTGCGCTGCTCTAAAGAGCTAGTTTCTGTTGTGCTATCTACTAAAATTCATTCTCGTGTTACTTGTCACTCAGTTAAATCTCATCCTTTTACTGTGACTGTTCCTAAGTGCTCTAAAAATTCTTATTTGACTATTTTTTTTCTTCAAACATCAGTTTATTGGAATTTACTCCCTTTATCTTGATTTCCTGATTCATATAATTTACAATCTTTTAAATGGTCTGTTAATTGTTATCTTGCTTTATAAACTTCATCTTTTCTCTTCCAGTATTTTCGAACTCTAATAGTTGATTGCCTGCAACCTTGTTTGAAGTAAGGTGTTTTAAAAAAAAAATTCTATAAGTTTTTATAATTTATTAGTTTATTATAATTTACTTATATAATTGCATAATTATTCTTCTGTTTATCAGTTATAAAGTTAAATAGTTTCATTAATTATACAATAAATAATCATAATTTATCAGTTTGTTAATATTTATTTATATAAATACATAATCACTCTTCTGCTCATCAGTTACAAATTAAAATAAAATGCTGCTTTTTGCAAACAACAATACTAAACCTAATTACGTTAAACTTATCAGGCTTTTTTTACTTTTTAAAAACCCGAATAAGTTCCTCTTAAAAAACAACTTTTAAAAAAACTGGGTTTTGAATCTAGTTTTTTTTAAAGTTGTTTTTTAAGAGGAACTTATTCGGGTTTTAAAAAGTAAAAAAAACCTGATAAGTTTAAGGTAATTAGGTTTAATATTGTTGTTTAAGGATGGACTCCCCTTCATGAAGCGTGCAATCATGGTCATTTCAAAGTTGCAAAATTTTTACTACGTGCTGGTGCAGAAGTTAATGCTCAGGGTTTTGATGGTGATACACCACTTCATGATGCCAGTTCAAATGGCCACCTTGAGGTTATCTTAACAACTTTTGTATAGTTTGTTTATAAATTTATTAATTTTATTTGTGTGTATGTGTGCGCGTGTTTATATATATATATATATATATATATATATATATATATATATATATATATATATATATATATATATATATATATATATATATATATATATATATATATATAAATTTTGTTAGTGTATTCTACAAATACAGTGCTTAATGTTCTTAAAGAACAGAACAAAAATGAATAGTAAAAACACTTATCTAGTTTTTAAATTTTTCTACAGCTTGTTTCTCCATCAGTAGGATCATCAGGAATAATGTCTAAACATCAAAAAATTCAAATTATGAAAAAATTATTTCACAGGAAGTTGGGAAATGATTTAGTTAATTATGTAATAACTGTAGTCTTTTTTGCAACCAGGAAGTTGCATCAACTTCATTAGATAATTAATAGATCATAAAAAGAATTCTTTAGAATTAGGATAATTTCAGACTAGTCATTTGTTTTGATAAGTTTTTGGAATAGACCAGTTTAATTTAAAATTAATATTTTTTTCTTTCAGTTGCCAAATAGATTTTGACAGCAACATTTTTTAGTAACAACTTCCTGTTTGCAAAAAAGACTACAGTTATTACATAATTAACTATATCAATTCCCAACTTCCTGTGAAATTATAATTCCTGTGAATCTATAATTTGAATTTTTTGATGTTTAGACATTCTTCCTAACGATCCTACTGATGGAGAAACAAGCTGTAAAAGAAAATAAAAATTAGATAATTGTTTTTACTATATATATATATATATATATATATATAATATATATATATATATATATATATATATATATATATATATATATATATATATATATATATATATATATATATATATATATATATATATATATATATATGCATATATATATATATATGCATATATGCATATATATATATATATATATATATGCATATATATATATATATATATATATGCATATATATATATATATGCATATATGCATATATATATATATGCATATATGCATATATATATATATATATATATATATATATATATATATATATATATATATATATATATATATATATATATATATAATGCTATTGCTGACCAAGCGAACCATTTTTTTTTGTTGACAACTTGACCATAACTGTTTGATATTTTGATTATTTAAACATTTCAAAAATTAAAAAAAATTTTTTTTAAAAAAAACAAAAGAAAAGAAAAAAAAGGTAATTCCTTACAAAAAAGAAAATATATATGCTTTGAAATAAGACTCAAAAAGCTCAAACTTGAGTTTTTCTTATGTTTTTAACTGCATTTGAAATAAATTAGTTTCTAACTTATCTCTTATTAAATTTATGCAAAATGTTTTTACAATTTACATTTAATGTTTGTTAATAAATGGACAAATTTCATTTCAATTAAGAAAAAAATTAAAATTTTTAAATTTAAATTTAAAGGGATCCCCAAGCGTCAAGACAATTTGTGTTCATATCAAAGATAAACATTAGAAAATAAGTTAAATGTTAATTAAACCTTCCAAAACAAATTATTGAATGAGATATTAACAAAAACTTTTAATTTTTAATGCCATTTTGTTTCTTGCGAAGGAAAGATCCGACTCTTTGACTATTTATTATTATTTTAATCCGGTCTGATTAATGCATTTTTGTATTTAATATTTGATGTCAATAAAAAAAGTTTCTTTTAAAAACCTAGTTAAACATGTAGAGTATGTTTGGGGTTTCCCTTTTGCGGTTAAACAAAAATATAAATTTTTTTAATATTAATATAATAAATATACTAGATCATTTTAAAAACGGTATATATAATAAAATATAAATATAAACTAAAAATATATATAAGATTATTTTTAAAACATTTTTAAAAATGTTTTTAAAAAATTAGGATTTTTTAATAATATTTTATTTGTGTAATTTAGTGATAAATAGTACAAATAAATTGCAGATTGTACAAGAAAACATAAACTTTGCTGATAAAAGAAGATAAGTTCGCTTCGCTTAATTACTATTTTTATTTTAACTCAAACACTTCACAATACGTTGAGCAAAAATAAAAACATGCTATAGTGAAATTTTTTTATAACCACCGCAGACTATTTTTAAAGGGAAACCCCTGATTATGTAAAACTGAACTGTTTAAAAAACTCTGATTTGAGAGCCTAAAACTCTCTCAACCAGAAGTATAATGGCAAAACAGCAAATGCTTTTGTTAATATCTCATTCAATAATTTGTTTTGGAAGGTTTAATTAACATTTAACTTATTTTCTAATGTTTATCTTTGGTATGAACACAACTTGTCTCGACGCTTGGAGATCCCTTTAAAAATTGATAAATTGAAATAGTTAAAAAATAATTTTTTTTTAAATTGTATTAACATTTTTTCCAAAAAATTGCAGCAAAAAATAAAATTGTTTAAAAAAGTAGTCTTTTTAATAAAGTAGTTTTAAATCATTTCATACTCTTATGAGAATTTTTTTTTTTTTTTTTTTAAACAGAAACAAAAAAGAATATAAATAAATAAAGCAATTACACCATTTCATTGCAATCAGAAAATTTAATTTAACTTATTCATTAAAAGTTTACCTTAAAAGATTTTCAAAAATTGGAAGTAAAATAGTCTGGAACGTTTAAATTTATCAAAAAATACATGCTTACATAAAAAATTTAAATGCAACATTTTTTGTTAATTTACACAAAATGCATTTATTTTAAAGGGATCCCTAAGTGCTCCTAACATATGATCTCATATGAAAGAGCATTAAAAAAAAATGTGTAAGTTTTTTTTCTTTTTCACTAAGTTGTAATATTAAATTTATGCTAACAAAAAGCAATTGCCGAAATCACTGAAAATCAACTCCACTTTGATTTTATTTTTTTACCATTGAAACTCGATTGTTATTTGTTAAAAATCACGTTAGTACGTCACAACAACTTTAGAATATCTACTTTGATTTTCAAGTAAAAAAACGTCTTGATTTAATAGTTAAGTTTAAATTAGTTTTGCAAAAACAGTATAATAGAATTCGGTTAAAAAAAAGTTATTAAGTAATAGTTTTAAATAGTTTAAAACTTATAAAAGTCTTACAGGGCTTAGGCGTTTGCGATTTTTTTTTTTTTTTTGGTTGTTTAATTACTTTTTTTCTAGCTTAGAATTTTTTTTAGCAATTCTTAAAAGTAATGTTTTTATCATAAAGAGCGTCACACAAAATTTATTATTATGAATAGAAAGAAGAATAGATGATTTGTGCTGAGATTTTCTTTCAAAGTAAAACATTTTTGAATTTAAATTACTTTAAATCTTTGTGTGAAAAATTTTTAAAAGATCGTTAAAGCGAAAAGTTGAAAAGGGAAAAGACCTTGATTCAAATTTTTTCTTCATATCTAACAATACAGCTTGGTTTTTATATTTGTTTATCAAAACTTCATGTTTAAAATAAGGCTTAAAAACGTTAGAGCAAAAAAATTGCTGACTTTTATTTGCATTTTTATACTGTTTGAAAAAAAAACTAATAAAAAAGAATTAATTATTATTAATTCTAATAATTATTAATTAATATATTATTAGTTAATTCTTTTTTATTATTTTTTATTTTTTTACGTTAACGTTTTTGAGCCTTATTTTAAACATGAAGTATAATTCAATTTATTAAACCAAATTTTTTTGTTTCACTTTTTATTGGAAAACAATTGAAATAGAAAAATTGAATAAAAACATCAACTTAAAAACTATATAAATGAAAAACTTAATTATATTTAAACTTTTATTAGAATTTTATTCAAGAAACAATAAGTTATAAAAAACGTGGTATTTAATTTTTTATTAAGTTTTTGACGATGATTTTTGATTTATTGACAATAGTTTTTTAATTTATTAATTAAAACAATTTCATTTATTTGCTTTATTCTATTTTTAACGCATTTTATGTTATTAAACTGTAATTTTATTAAAACAACAAAACAGCGTCACAAAGTTGTTTTACATTAATACAAGCTATTTATATTTTAAAGACAACTTGTTGTTTTATAGCTTTTTACAATGACAATTAAATAATCATTAAAAATACGTGTTTTATCGTCAGCGTGATCGTACTAAACAGTTTTCTATGACTAATTAAAACATTGCAGTGACAGATCCAGGAATTTTTGGTGGATGGGGATGTTAAAATATTTTTGAATTTTGTACCATTTTTGTTTTAAATTTTGTTTTGAATTTTGCGTCTCCTAAAAAAAAGAAGCAAAAAACAAGGTCCTCAATTTCTATGGTATTTTCAAGACTTTCAGATTCTGGTGGGGGGAGGGGATGCATTCCCCAACCTCCCCCTGGATCCGTCACTGAAATATTTTAATGTATGCTTTTTACTCTTATTTTTTTACTTTTTCTTTTTTAAGTATCAACTTAATTAATAGTGTTAAATACGTTACTTGCTCATTACACTGTAACTGCAACTTAAACTTTAAATTATAGATTAAGCTGTAAATTATAACAGTAATTTACGCTATTTTAAACTCGGCCAAGCAAGAAAATCATAAGATAACATTTAAATATGAGAGATAGTATGTTAAAAGATAACAATTACGTGCTAAAGAGACAATTTTATACTAACGCAACCCCCTCCCCCTTATTACCGCACATCAACGCAAGCTATAAGAGAAAGGGGGGGAGCAAAAAAAAAATTTTTTTTGCGATTAGTTTTTTTTGCGTTAATTGGAGCCTTGTCTTAGTTTAATTTCTAATAAAAAGTCTATTCAACCTTATCAATTTGAACCAAAAAAATATAGCAAAATTAACATAAATGTTAATTTAACTAAAACATTTTATAACAATTATTTTTTTTATCAAGCGAAAATGAGAATAACCATCACTTTGGAAACCATAAAAATGACTGAAATAAATTTATTTTTGTACTTAGGAAATATTTTAAATAAACTTTCATGCGCCTACATCAATATTCATTTCTGACTAAAAAGAGTTTAAAATTTGATTTCTACTCATTTTTGGCCGTGGAATTGCCCTTATAACACAAATATATAAATAAAAATTATTAATAAAATTTTAATATACAAATATATTTTCACAAAATGCTACAAAACTTATTCTTGTAAGTAATTATGTGTTAGTTAAAAAAAAAGCGAGTTTACTTTTAAATTTGATTACCAACTAATACGTTTGCAATAATGACATTTTGTCTACTTTGTTTAATTTGACGTACAAACGTTAGTTTTTTTAGGCAATAGAGTCAATAAACTTTCAACTAGAACATTATTTTTATTCAAAGAAAAGCGTTTTTTTGAAAATTAAATTTGTTAGTGTGTGTTCATTATTACGTTTTAGAAAAAATAATATACATCAAACATTTTTTTTTAATGCTCTTTCATATGAGATCATATCTTTATAGCACTTAGGGATCCCTTTAAGCAATTGTTAGAATTAATTTTGTATTTTATTTAAAGTGAAGGCTTTATATAACAACTTTAGAAAAGATCAATAATTAAAAGTTATTCATAACATAATGATTTTTTTATTGCATTTAAATTGTTAAAACATCAAGCAGCCGTATTCAAATTGTAAAAAAATTATTTAAGAGTTTAGCGCTAAAACGCTAAACTCTTAAATAATCTTTTGTAATCAAACCTTAATACATCAGTAAAGGTATTGATCGTTATTAAAATATAAATATTTAATTTGATTTTTAAAATTATATAAAGTTAAATTAGTTTTATTACAAAATACATGAATAATTAAATATATAAAAATATTGATAAAGTTACATGCATTAACATAAATACATACATATATTTTAAGTGAAAAATAAGGTTATTAAATGTCTGTAGTTTGGATACTGGTCATTATAAACGGGAATGCGGTAGTGATGTAGTGGTAGAGCGCTCGCTTCATAAGCGAGAGGTTCCGAGTTCAATCCCCACCACGTCCCTGGTAGTACCGCGCTCAACTCGTTTCTCCGCGCAGCGGCCTTGTTCGTCAAGGTTCGTGTTTCGGAGTTATAGAGTTAAGAGAGGGTTGTATAACCACAAATAAGTAGCCTCCTTGTCTGTAGTGGCCTTCTCGGCCTCAAGGAGGTGAATTAACACACAAAAAAAAAAAAAAAAAAAATTGATATCCCAGGCCTTGCGATAAAGCGTCGGGCGATGTGAATTTTACGTCGTCCAAGAGCAATTTTGCATGTAGCTAGGGCTATTTTTGTCGAGCAAAAAATTTTTTGTTTGAGTATATTTAACGATATTTTTGAGCGGAATGTTAATGAAGTAATTTACGATTATTTTAACATTCAATAAAGTATTTTAAAAACCGCACGCAGTTGATAAAAGTTTGAATTACTAACAAATTAAATATGCTCGTTATTTGCAAGTAGAAAAAATTCAGTTAAAAAAAAAAGTTTAAATTTTTTTAAGCTAACATTTTAATAAAATTATTCAGCAATAGCAAAGTTGTTGATAAAATTGAACAAAAATACTTTCTTTTAGTTTTAGATTTTTAACTTAAATAATTATTTTACGGGGGTTTGTTAAGTTTTAAAGTTATTCAATAGATTTAAAAATATTTATTAACTGTTAGACGTATTTAAAGTATTTAAGAGTAATTTCGAGGAAACATTTTAAAAATTGGTAAGCGCAAATAAAAAAAATAAAAGGTATAATATTAAAACGTATTCTACTTGATTCAATAAAAAAGTACAACTATTAAAATTTTTGTAAAAAGTAACTCGAAAAAAATTACTTAAATAATAACAATCCCTTTTTTGTTAAAAGTTACCGAAACTCAACGAAGCGTGCTTAAGATCAACTGCTGAAAAATAGAACGTCAATAGTTTTTCGAATAATTTTTAATAATAATTTTTAAGAATAATTTTTTCGCTGAAATATTTCTTTTATACCTAAAAGATTTTTATTCTAACATTTTATTTTTTTTTACCAAAAATAAAATTCATTAAAAATCACACATTGAAAATCTATTCAAAACCTTCGTTAAAGTTTTTTAGTAATACGAGTGATTGTGCTTATCAACCGCTTTATGAAAATAAATAAAAATAAATAAATAAAAAAATATTTTATAAAATCGCTAGTAAGAATATTAACTGTTGCACAGTTTTTAATCGTACAATATTAAAGTTTCTAGTTTATTACTCGCTGACTTTTTAAAAAGAAAAAATAATTATTTAAAGAACTTTAAATAATATATTTGAGAAAATCAAATATTAGCATATTTTATAATCTTTTTTAAATGTTTAGTTATGTTTTTCATTCGTTTAGTAGATAAAACATGTCAAACGTAGAGAAAATAAACCAATGTTTTTACATTTTAAAAAACGAAACGAAATATTTTTAAATAATAACATTTCTACATTAATGATTTAAAGTAGTTTTGCGGTAATTAAGTAAATTGGTGTAGTTAATGTCGATAAATATGAAAAGCAAATGAAAAGAATTTAATGACGTCAAAAATCACGTTGTGCTTATGCGTCGCGCAGCTTTTATTCATCACAAGGCCTGAAATCCATTTTGCATTGTTTTATACTGTGCAAAGTGGACATCAAAATTTGAGACACTAATAGGTTTAGTGACTGTCATCTGTTCTGTTTTAATTTTTTCATTTTTTACAACTTTTTTCTTGAATGACACTTCCATATGGTTGCAAATCTATCAACCTAAAAATAAAACACACAAAAAAAAGTATATTTATTGTTTTTAAAATGGACAAAAAAAAAAAGGAATATTAGATAAAAATGGTAGAACCAATTTTGCCTATTAAATAGCAAAATTGGTTTTACCGTTTTTATCTAATAAAACAGAATCGTAAATATTCAAAAAATTTATTTTATACAAAAAAATACAAATTTTATTATCAATCAGTTAGAAATTTCTACTGTTATAATATTTTTAATGCCCAAAAAATTGATGAAAATTAGAAAATCTTGAGATATAACCTTCAAAGCTATGAGATTTAGTTTAATTTTTTAAAATCTTTTTCCTCAATGTTTATCATTTCGTATTCTTTTCTTTCTTTCCTGATTTTGAAAGAATTATTATTTTCAACTCTTAGATAATTATAATTCAGTCTTGTTTTTGCTTTCGATTTAAATCTAGCATTTTTGTATGCTATATAAAAGTAGTTTTTTTTCTTTTCTTTTGTTATTTCAGTAGAGATGCTGCATAAAATCATTTTTTTTTTTAACAATATTTTTTAACCATTTAGTTAAAAACATTTTCTTTAAAACAAGCAAGAGTTTTATGTACATATTTGTGAAGCTGACGTTATTAATTAATTTATATTATTGACATTTTATTAAGTATTTTTAAATCTTATTTGTACATTTGTGAAGCTATTTTTAAGTATTTTTAAGTTTCATAAGAACTTTATCTAGAGATTTATTTATTTTTTCTATTTTATTGAAAAAAAATTTTAATCTGAAAGGTATTTTTACTTAATTTTATTATTTTGTAGATTGTTGTGCTACTTTTGCGACATGGTGGTAATCCTCATCAAAAAAATGATAAAGGAAGAACACCAATAGATGTGGCTGATAGTGATAGAGTTTTAGAAGCACTGAAGAATTTTACCAAAGATATGCTCTCTGATTTAAAACCTAATAAAGGCATAATTTTGTATATGTAAATATTTGTGTGTATATATTCATGGCCTTTGATTTAAATCATGCACAAAATATCAACAGAATCAAGATTAATCATAATTAACTCATGTGTAATGCAACTAAATAAGGCTAACAAATAAGAGACATTTCATATGTAGTGCGACTAAATAAGGCTAACAAATAAAAGACATATTATTTTACCAAGTAAAAGACAGTTTAATAGTGCTCAACACTTTAATTTTATTCAAAAATTGTGGTAACCAATGTTTTGTATGCTTGGAGGTAACAAACAATGATGCTGAAATGAAAGAGAAAGATTATGTAGGTTTAGTTATAACTAAGCATTAAATTGTCACATCATCCTAGCACTGGTGACATGGTTGGTGGCATAGCACATTGTGTATGATTTTGATTAAGGGATAATCTATCTTTTATCTAATCTTTTTTGTGTATGATTCTAATCTAGTGTTTGCCATTTTATATATATATATATATATATATATATATATATATATATATATATATATATATATATATATATATATATATATATATATATATACACACACACACACACACATATATATATATGTATATAAAACATAAAAGAAAAAATGTTAGAAAAAAGGCATGTTTCAAAATTTGAGGGTAACCCCTCCAATTTTGAAACCCCCGGACACATAGTTTAACCATGATTTTACCTTTTTTTTTACTAGTGTGACACAAATGTAATATATAATAATTTAGCATTTGACTGTTCTTGACACTTTTTTAAAAAAATCGTCTTTAAAAATTGTCTCTGATATATATGGAATCAGAATGAAAATGTCATCATTTAAAAACATAAACATTACTTTTTTATAATGAAAATAAACACTTTAAAAAGACTTTTTTCAAATCTAATGTTTTTTTATTGGAATTAAATGAATTACTGTTATAGCTTTGTGTACTATACTAATTGTATTAATATTTATATAAAAAAAGTTGTTAATTATTAATATGTAAACAAATTAAATTGTCACCCTCCAAACATGTGTCCGATACCACCCGATCATACCTTATTCACAAATATTAGTTTTAAAACCAGTGAATTGAACTTTCTAACAAATTTTTTTTTCTAATAACTGTTGTAAATAAAAATATATCTGAAATCATTAAAAAGTTATTAATTTACATAAAAATTAGGTATATTAATATGTAAATCAAATATGATGATACGTCGCTCTTCTGGTGGTGGGAAACAAAATCTTGCTTTCCCAGTCATTCGCTTCGACATTTTATGATAGATATTTTGCATATACCATATTTTCACTCAAATAATGTTATTCTAGTATTAGAAGTCAAATAGCTTCTTTAGTTTTAGCTGTATATCAAGTGTCTGGAGTTACCCGCCGTCTGGGGCTACCCGACTTTCCCCTATATAAAATAATTTAAATGAAAAAATATAACTTTATCATGGAATTCGTATTTACTTCTATTATAAAGTTGTGTTTTTTCATTTTAATTATTTTAATATAATTTGATTTTTTTAAGAAAAAAAAAATACTTATTACTCTTAAACAGACAAGAATTTCTAACAGTATACAACATTTATCAATATAAATATATTTTTAACAGTATACAACATTTATCAATATAAATATATTTTTAACAGTATACAACATTTATCAATATAAATATATTTTTAACAGTATACAACATTTATCAATATAAATGTATATATATAAATATATTTCTAACAGTATACAACATTTATCAATATAAATATATTTTTAACAGTATACAACATTAATCAATATAAATATATTTTTAACAGTATACAACATTTATCAATATAAATATATTTTTAACAGTATACAACATTTATCAATATAAATATATATACATAAATATATTTCTAACAGTATACAACATTTATCAATATAAATATATTTTTAACAGTATACAACATTTATCAATATAAATATATTTTTAACAGTATACAACATTTATCAATATAAATATATATATATAGATATATTTCTAACAGTATACAACATTTATCAATATAAATATATTTCTAACAGTATACAACATTTATCAATATAAATATATATATATAAATTTATTTCTAACAGTATACAACATTTATCAATATATAAATATATATATATATATAAATATATTTCTAATAGTATACAACATTTATCAATATAAATATATTTCTAACAGTATACAACATTTATCAATATAAATATAAATATATATATATATATATATATATATATATATATATATTTCTAACAGTATACAACATTTATCAATATAAATATATTTCTAACAGTATACAACATTTATCAATATAAATATATTTTTAACAGTATACAACATTTATCAATATAAATATATATATATATATATATATATATATATATATATATATATATATATATATATATATATATATATATATATATATATATATATATATATATATATATATTTCTAACAGTATACAACATTTATCAATATAAATATATTTCTAACAGTATACAACATTTATCAGTATAAATATATATATTGATACACACAGTATTATCCAATGCTAGTTATGCGGATTTGCACTATCCGCAATGATATATACATATATATAAAACAATAAATATAAAATCAAAAATTGCATTTAAAGTATGAAAATAAATGTTGTTCTAACTTTTAGATATGGAAATTAAAGAAAGTCTGAAAACATCTCCTGTTAATGAAAAAGAACAATGGTCTTTTCAAAAGTTAAAAAGATTTTCAAATGTAGATGATTTTTTGGATGCTGAGGATACTGATCAGTTTTCATCATCTAAAATGGAAAGCAATTATTGTGAAAATAGTCTCACTTCTTCAGTTTCACTTGACTCACTTAAAGCTGAGCCAAAATTTGATAATGATAATCCAAATATCACTACAACTTGTTATTTAAATAAAGAAGAAAACAAAACAACAAGTAGTGTAAATAGTTCCATTTCAGTAAGGCTGACTGATTTAAGTTTTATTAAAGACAATAGTTTAAAACCACACAAAAAGAAAAGAAGTTCTTTGAGTAACTCTTCAGCTAAAAGTGCTGGATATGAGAGTGAAGAAGCACGAAAAATGAAAAAAAGAACTGATAATCTGTCGTGTTTGTTGGTAAAAACTGATTGTGAAGATAAGAAAACTGAATTGACTTTAGGTGGTAGAACATCTGAACAAGTATTAAAAAGTATATCAGAACAAACAAAAAATGCTGGTTTGATTTTAGATTTGAATGAAACTGACAAAGTTGGAGGCTCCTCAGCAGCCCTCCACAGTAACAATAGTTATAGTTTAACAGAATCAAACCATTCAAAAAATCATGGCAAGATGGTAGATAAAGAGAAAAACAAGAAACAACTGATAAGACTTAAAGGTTTTCTTGATGATAGTGATGAAAGTGAACATTTATCAGATGAAAGTTCTTTACTTACATCTAATAAATATCAATCAACTAAAACTGATGATTTTATAAACAAAAGCGATCATGAAAGACCTAAAAAGGTTATTCTTCCAGATGAAAAGCAAAAAACTGATTTTCAGAATGAAAGATTAAAAAGTAATAGTGATGAAACAAAAGTTAAGAAACCGAGAAACAAATTTTTAAAATTTTTAAAGTTGTGTAAAAAAGATAAATGTCATAAAGTTCTAAACAATGATAAAGAAACTAATCTGGATCTTAATATACCTGATAGTTTAAATTCAAAAAAAAAAATTTTTCCTAATTTATCGACTGGTAATTCATTTGAAGATAATAAAAAAAACATTGAACCCAAAAATATTTTTTCAGCGCAGTCAAAAAATAAATATGGTACTGTCGGAATAATCAAATCAAGTAGTGTTTCTAATCAGAAAGAATTAAATGGTTCAGAATCAGAAAACTTTTGTATTGACTTCAAACATAAAACTAGCTCATTGCTAAGTCAGCAATCATCACCAATAAAACTGAAAAACAAAGTTTTTGAAAAAAAGGAAGAAACTATGCCAGAAAAAAAAAGTAATAAACACTCTAATGAATCATTACATAAAAGCATTCATACGAATGAAAGTGAGATGTATAAAAAAAGTTCATTTAAACACAAAACAATATCAACAAATGAATTTTTAGAACTTTCTAATGCCAAAAACAATGCAGATGATGTGTCAGAAAGAAAAAAGAGAGAAAGTGCAGAGTGTTTACTCTCCTCCAGAGTGCATCATTCTCCTCAAAAGTATAACCAAAATGTTTCGTTTAAAATAACTAATAAGGATACAACTCTTAAGAAAGTTCCAGAAGCTAACGAACCTATTAAAAATAAATTTGAAGCTAACGAACCTATCAAAAATAAATTTGATGCTAACGAACCTATCAAAAATAAATTTGAAGCTAACGAACCTATCAAAAATAAATTTGAAGCTAACGAACCTATCAAAAATAAATTTGAAGCTAACGAACCTATCAAAAATAAATTTGAAGCTAACGAACCTATCAAAAATAAATTTGAAGCTAACGAACCTATCAAAAATAAATTTGAAGATGACTTGAAGTTTAACTTACATGAACATGGTTTGACTATAAATGAAAAGTTGTCAACACCAGACAAAAATGCTACTGAGTTACCTAATTTGCCAGAAAATATTTCTTTTTCAGTTAATGAAAAAATTAGTAATATTTCATTAAATCAAATGTCAGAATCTTTAATGGAGCATGAAGACCAAAAAAAAGACTCCATGTTTTTCCGAAATTCTGAAACACAAGAGATGTCACCTCAAAGTTTAAGCAACATTAATACTGTATCTAATACTAGCACAATAAACAAGTCATGTGGATTTGAAAATTTACAAAACTCAGAAATTATTTTACAAGAATCTGCACAAGTTTGTAAGTTTGAGTTACCTTTTGTACATTCTCAAAACTTATGCAATGATTTGGATTATTCCAGAGATAATTCTCAAAACATATTTTCTGAGCTAGATTATAGCAAAGATAAGTCTAAAACGATATCTATTGAGCTGGATTTTAACAAAGATAGTTCTGAAAATACATGCAGTCAGACAGAGTGTACCAAAGATAAGCTTATAAATATTGAAATGCCAATAAATGATCCTAAAGTTGAATGTATAACAGAAGAAAAACCACATATAGCTGCATTATTTGCAGAAAAGATAGAGGATGCTAACTCTTTAACTAAAGTAGTTGTACCTATAATGGTGAGTGTTAAGGATGTTATAAGTGATAAAATAGAAAGTCTGACTTCTGACCAAGAACAACTTCAAGAACAACTTCAAGAACCACTTCAAGAACAACTCCAAGAACAAATTCCAGAACAACTTCAGAAACACAGGTTTAGTCACAATCTTTTGGAAAACGATTCAAAACTAATAAAACCAATAGTTAGTAAAGATATCAAAATAGATGATCCACATGGTAAGTTATCAACAAAAGAAATCAAACCAGTTTTTGTTTGTAACAGCCTTAAAGATAATTTTGCATTGTTAAAAGATGAAACCAGTGAATTTTCCTATAGCAAAAAAAAAATAAATGACTGTAAACAAGCAAAACAATTATCATCAGACAATGCATTAGAAAAAGATTTAAAAGTTATTTCCATTGATTCTATTCCGAAACACAAAAAAAGAGAAGTTCATAAATTAGATTTGTGTTCAGTTAAAAATTGTGATTTCAAAGCTGACTTGCATTCAAAGTATGAGAAAGAAAGTAAAACAGGTAAAGACATATTAAAAGAACCTTTCAAAGATATTAAAAATGATAAGGACATAGTAAAAGAAGTATGCAATGAAACAAAAATAAATAAAGAGATACCAAAAGAATCTCTCAAAGAATTAAAAGTAAATAAAGATATGCCAAAAGAAACTTGTAAAGAAATAAAAATAAATAAAAATGTTTTAAAAGAATCTTGCAGCGAAGGAAAAGTAAATAAAGAGATAATAAAAGATTCTTGTAAAGAAATTAAAATGAATAAAAATATATCAAAAGAAGCTTGCAAAAAAGTAAAAATAAATAAATATTTAGCAAAAGAAACCTGCAAAGACATAAAAATAAATAAAGAAATGCCAAAAGAAACCTGCAAAGAGATTAAAATAAATAAAGAAATGCCAAAAGAAACCTGCAAGGAGATAAAAATAAATAAAGAAATGCCAAAAGAAGCCTGCAAGGAGATAAAAATAAATAAAGAAATGTCAAAAGAAACCTGCAAAGAGATTAGAATAAATAAAGAAATACCAAAAGAAACCTGCAAGGAGATAAAAACAAATAAAGAAATGCCAAAAGAAACCTGCAAAGAGATAAAAATAAATAAAGAAATGCCAAAAGAAACCTGCAAAGAGATAAAAATAAATAAAGAAATGCCAAAAGAAACCTGCAAAGAGATAAAAATAAATAAAGAAATGCCAAAAGAAACCTGCAAAGAGATAAAAATAAATAAAGAAATGCCAAAAGAAACCTGCAAAGAGATAAAAATGAATAAAGAAATGCCAAAAGAAACATGCAAAGAAATAAAAATAAATAAAGATATACAAAAAGAGATCTGCATTGAAACGAAAATAAATCAAAACACAACTAAAGACACAAGTAGGGAAATAAATAAAGACATTTCAAAGGTAACTAATTTTGGTTTAGAATCAAATCTTGATAAAGAGAAAGCAGTAAAGTTTATTTCTCCTGTAAAACATTTTGATGAAAAGATTGTAGAATTAGATTTAAGTAAATCATTTGCTTTAAATACGGTTCCATCACGAAAGCATCATAAAATTGAGTTACCAAAAAGTGTTATTATTCATGAACATATATTGGAATGTCGTCCAAAGGTTGAAAAGTTAAAAAAAAAACACAATGAAAAAGAATTAAAGCGCAAACATAGTTTCCCTGCAACAACAACAACAACAGCAGTTAAAATAGCAAAGCTAGATCAAACAATTTGCAATTTGAAAGAAGTTCAAAAATTGAGTGCTGACTCAGCTCAGCCCTCAACAACATTAGATGAAGATAAATTTGTTTCTTTAAAAACTGAGCATCTAGCTGAAAAGCTTGAGAGCACTAGTAATCTTTCATTAAATTTAAAGAAAGTTAAAGTTAAAAAGCAAGTTAACATTACACAACAACACTCTTTTAACCAAGAGTTACCAAGTAAACAAAAGCTACTGAGTAAACAAGACTCTGAAATTGAATTAGATAATGAATTATCAGCAACATTACAACCTGAAGATTCACAAATCAGAGAAAATATAAGTTTATCTTCACATGAAATATTGAACAAAACAGTTTGTTCTGCTACAAAACAACATAATGATAAGTATTGTGAATTGTCTAATAAAACTTCAGAGTTACCACTTTGCAATGAAGAACAGCTTCAGTCAGTGTCCTTAGATGCTGAAAATTTACTTAAAGAAAAAGTGGAAATAAAAATGGTTTTCAAGGAAAATACACCTTCAAAAATAAAATGTTCTAATAAACCAGATGAAAACAAAAAAGATCTTGGTTTAATTGATGAAGTACAGAGCAAGAAAGATTCTGCTAAGCCTGACGACGTCAAAAAAGAAACTGTTAAGTTTGATGAAATACAGAATAGAAACCTAAAGACTTCTGAAAAAAATAAATCAAATGAAAACTGTCTTTCAAAAGATGTTGCAAAATGTTTAGGAAATCAAACATCTTTGCCAGTAAGTGATGAGCTGTTATCTATTAAAAAGCATAAACTTGAATATCATGAAAGATTTAAAAAAGATGAAGATTCCATGTCTGAATCCAAGTTTGCTTTTAAAGGAAATGCGTTTAAGATTTCTAATAATAACGCTGGGTTGAGTAACACTAGTAACATAAGCAACAAAAATCCGCCAATATTAAAATCAAAGGAAGGTAGCATAAAACTCAAAGAATTTGATATAAATATTGGAATGGGAATAACTGCACTAAAGGAACTTGAAGAAGCAAATAGAAGAAAACGAAAACAAATGTTAGCTAAACATAAAGATACCAAAGAAGTAAAAAGTGCTATTAAAGAACCAATTAAAGAAACAAAAAATATTGTGAAAGAGCTGAATAAATGTGATGAACCTTCTAAAAAAGTTTTAAAGAATGAAGATGATAGCAAAAATTTATTAAAAATAAGTTCCTATTCTAATTCTAATCAAAAATCAAAAACATCTGATATTTCACAAAGTTTGGAAAATTCTACAATAAAATGCATTGATAGCCTAATTAAAAAAAGCGAATCAAATAAAGTAACAGTTGTAGATCATCCTTTTCTGATAACAAAACAAGAAGATAAGACAGGCGTTAATTATAAAAAATCATTTGAACAAGATATAGTAAAGATTTTGATAACAAATGAATCAGAAAATTGTTTAGAAAATGAGAATGCTGTTGGTAATTTGTTAGGTATTGAGGATTCAATAGATGATGAAAAATCAGTTTTAAAAACATCTTTTGATACAGTGAGAGAAATCAAAAATAACTTTCAAAATACATTAAATTTTCAAAGCTTTGCAGACATAGATGCCTTTTCTACAGATCGCAAAAATAAAAATGACTTAATTCCTTTTGAAAAAAACATCTTTCAAGTAGGAAGAAGTGACCAAATACAAAAAGGACTTATATCAAGTGTTGAAGAAAAAGCACTTAAAGATGATAAATGCTTACCAAATAAACTTAATTGTACTGAACCTGTGCCATGTAATAGGGATTTTAATCTAAATCTAAAATCAAAGGATAGTTCTTTAGTTAACAATAGCTTAAGAGATCCATTAGTTACAGAAAATGCTCCTGACTATTTCCTGCCAACTTCAAATTTTTCTACTTTGGCTACTTATCAAAATCCTCTAATTGTGGAAAAAACTTTTTGCACTGACAACAAATCAAGTGATTTGTTGTTAAGCAACCATTTAACTGAACAATTCAGAATACTTCAAGCTTCACAAACTATACTTCCAGAAAATGAAATTATTAGCAAAGTTGGAGACTGCATTTTAGAAATGGATACAACTGGACATACTTATACTATGCGTGAATTTGTTCCGGTTACTTCTACTAATTCCTTTCCTTTTCTCCAAAATTTACGCTTAGGAATGGAATCGTGCACTACCTTGCATTTTAGCTCTGAAATTAAACCCAAAGAACCTGTATTAATTTCTGAAGTAGTATCTTCACATTCTAATACAAGCACCAACAGTAAACAAAACACTGTACTTCCACTTTCTAACATAATAGCAACCAGTTTAAAAAATATTGTACCTTCGCTGTCTAATCTTCTTGCCAACAGTGCCCAAAACAGTCCTTCACTTAATAGTATGATAACTAGCTGTTTGCAAAGCTCTGTATCTTCACTTTCTAGTTTAGACACCAATAGTCATCAAACATCATCTTTAATTGAACAAACTCATTTTACAGAAAGTTCAAACCGTAAAACTTTAAATACAATTTCAAGTAATGAATTTAGCAATTTTTCTGCATCATTTAGCAGTGATTTTAACCATCTTAATGCAACTTTAGGCAGCGATGTTCTGCGTGTTTCCACTTCAAGTGACGAAGTATTTTTAACTTTGAATGATGACAGTAACCAGTTGAATGCATTTTCAAATGATGGATTTCAACATTCAACTGAAACTGTAAGTGATAGTTTTAATCAGCTCAATTTGTTTTCAAGTGGCACAGAGAATTTGGTGAGGCAAAAACGTTTAATAGTGCCAACAGATGTTTCTTTTGTAAATCAATCTGAACCCAATCAGTTTAGTACTGTTAAAAAATTGACTTCTATGTCATCTAAATTAGATGAAAAATTATATCCGTTAAATTATTTATCAGGCAATGACCAATTGTCTTCATATCAAGAAAGTCATAAAATGAACTTAAAGCAAAATTTATCTACCTCTAAAAATTCTTCAAGTTTCAAAGAAATGTTATTTGAAAAAGTACCTGTTTCTGTTAACAGAGATTTATTTGAAATGGACAATCTTGATGATCCTCATAAAGTTACGTTTAGCTCTTGGCGACAAGTTATGAAAACTAATTGTTTGCAACTTAATAGAAGTAATTTAACCAGTTCTTTAGGATTGCAAATCTTAGAAATCTTTCAAATCCCTTCACATGAAGAAATAGTTAAAAAGGTATTTTATTTATTAAAAGAATAATTTAAACTGATAAAAATGTTTTAACGGAAAAATATATTTGTTTTTAAAATAATTTTCATTAGGCTTATTTAAACATATTATTTAAATAATTATTTATTTAACTTTTAAGTTAGTTTTTTTTATGTTTAATAAATTTATTTTAAAAAATTGTAAGGTGGTACTTGGTGGTATATTGAAATAATTTCATTATTTTATAATGAAATTATATTCAGATGAAACTCAATTTTTTTCGGCCAATTGTTATCGCAATAATTTAGACCTTCCTATATTTATGAACGGTAATGTACTCGATGAGTCACCTACCCTTCATCTTCTAGGATTAACTCTTCTGATCTTTCTTGGAAACCTTATATCAAATCCGTTGCAAAATTAGCATCTGCTAAAGTTGCTTCTCTTTATCAAGCTCGTCACTTTCTTACTCTGGATTCTATTCTCTATCTCTATAAATCTCAAATCCGGCCTTGTATGGAATACTGTTGCCATATATGGGGCGGATCTTCTAATGATGCCCTTTCTCTTTTAGACAAGGTGCGAAAACGCATTGTAAACATAGTCAGACCTGCTCTTGCAGCCAACTTTCAACCTCTGTCACATCGTCGTAATGTTGCTTCTCTTTCTCTTTTCTACAAATACTATAATGGGCACTGCTTGAAGGAGCTAGCGTCTCTTGTGCCATCTACAAAAATTCATTCTCGTGTTACTCGTCATTCAATCAAGTCTCATCCTTTTTCTGTTACTGTTCCTAAGTGCTCCAAAAACTCTTATTTGTCTAGTTTTTTCCTCGAACATCAGTTTTTTGGAATTCACTTCCTTCATTATGCTTTCCTGATGAGTGAGATGAGTCCCTAACCCTGACCCTAACCCTAACCCCTAACCCTTATGAAGGTGAGTGAGAGTTCCAAAGAGTTGAAGTGCAGGGAAAAAAATTTAGACAAAAAAAGGTTTTTGAGCATGCAGGGATAGATAAAGTGAAAGAATGAGACTTTGCTAAATGGTGAGTCAAGAGAAAATGAGTTTTAGTTGATTGAACTAGAGATGATAGCTTCTTTGAGCAGTGACCATGATAGTATTTGTAGAAAGAGAAAGAGATGCAACTTTACGATGATTGGGAAGAGGCTTAAGCTTAGCAGATAGAGTGGCTCCAACTATGTTTGTAATGCGTTTTTGGACCTTGTCTCAGTGAGAAGGTCACCATTCATTATTATAGGTATGTCGAAGTTATTTATTGAGATATTAACAAAAGCTTTTTGGATTTTTTTATTTTTTTTTTACAACGTTGCGATATTTTCTTTTATAAGTTAATATAATTTTAAAAGTTAATTTTAATAGTTGGCTTATGATTCTGCTTTTTTTTTTTTTTTTTTGTTATAAAAGTATCTAGTTTTTTTAATTAATGTGTTTTCCTTGTAGAGGGTTTTTTAAACGATTTAATTTTAAACAAGTTTGGGTTTAGCTTTTTTTTAACTTGCAGTTATAATAAAACTTTTTCGCTCCATTTCAGTTTATAATTGTTTCTATTTTCAGATGTTTTTGGTATGAAAACATAGTTCTCTATGTGTGTGTAACTTCAATCCAAACCTTTTTTTCTTAAGTTAAATAAAAGTATATACTCCAAGCCTTCCCAGGAAAGGTGTGCAGTTTTTCGTCTTGTATGACCACACGCAAGTATCTTATTTTAGACAACTTGAACACGGCCGTTCGCAAGTTTTATAATAATCAATGCTAAAAAAGTTTCAAAAACAAAAAAAACAAAACTAACAAAATAAAAAGATTGATATAGAAAAAAATAAAAACACATTAATAGTTTAAGTTATTTGTGTACTGTTTTTATTTTTGTTTCTTTAGAGTGGTTTTTACATTCAGCAACATAATTAGATAAGGCGAAGCAAAAAAAAAAAACAGTTAGAAGTCTACAAATAAAAAGAATGATTTTCCTTTTCTTAGCTTTTTTTTTTAAGAGGGTAGAAAAAATATAAATTGCAATGTGTTTGTAAAATATATTTGTATAATTTTAATGTAACAACAATAATAATGTAATAACAAGGGTTGAATTAAGCGAATGCGAAATGCAAAATTTGGAAAAATATCTAGTATTCAAAATTTTAGTTTATACAAAACCGTGTTCCTTGTTTTTAGGGGCGAATCAACCTAAATTTGTAAGCGAAAAAATAAAACAATAACCTTACAATTACAAAAGTAATAACACTCTTGTCACTAACTGTATTACAAAAGTAATAACACTATAATAGTGTTATTACCTTTATAACACACATAACTTTTAAAATTCCTTCTTTGTTCAAGCAACATAAGTAATCCCAAATTTTAATTGAAGTAACTCAATATTTACTTTTATTGAACATAAGAAAAAAAGGTTTATTGCATTTAAATTATTTACTACGCTGCATTAATTGTAGCGTAGTAAATAATTTAAGTGCTTTTTTAAGGCTTTGGTAAAATAATCACAATGCAGATTCTAGTAGATTATCTAAAAGTTTTGTTTTACTATCAATACTTTTTTTGTATGAAATAACTGTCTAGTGGCCCCGCGGGGCAACTTACTATATTTTTATTCTTATTTTTAATCATCATTTGTGTGGATGAGTGGTTTTATATGATCCTAATAATAAAAAAAGTTAGCAAGTTATCATTAAAGTTCTTTTTTTTGAAAGCTAATATTAAAAATGGGAAAACCCAATTGTTGTTGTTGAAGTTAATTAACAACAATTAACGTCAATTATTATTGATGTCAAAGATAATTGCTTTAATCAGGCTAGAATTTTTTTGAAAGAAAAAAATCCACAAGCTAGAACTTTTTTTAAAAAAACAGTATGATGTTAAAACTGAAAATATTTTTATAAATATCTCGATAAATAATTTGTTTTGGTAAGTTTATTCAACTCTAAGCTTATTTTCTAAGGTTTATTTAAGATATGAACACAACTTTTCTCAGCACTTTAGAATCCCTTTAAATAATATTCCAAACACCCTTATTGTTTTCTTTGTCTTAATAAGTGTGTTTCGATAGGAACTTTGTTGAAAGAATCTCATTGCTTAATTTTTTTATAGACAAGAAAAATAGACAATTCATTAAATTTTTTTTTGTTTTTTAACATCTTCGTTTCCAACAGGGCTGCAAGCAACCACTAATTAGTGTTGGAAGTTACTGGAAGAGAAAAGATGAAGATTGGAGAGCAAGATAACAATTGACAGATGACTTAAAAGATTGCAAGTTATATGAATCAGGAAAGCAAGATGAAGGAAGCGAATTCCAAAGAACTGATGTTCGAGGAAAAAAAACTAGATGAATAAGAGTTTTTGGAGCACTTAGGAACAGTAACAGAAAAAGGATGAGACTTGATTGAATGACGAGTAACACGAGAATGAATTTTAATAGATGGCACAAGAGAAGCTAACTCTTTCGAGCAGTGCCCATTATAGTATTTGTAGAAAAGAGAAAGAGAAGCAACATTACAACGATGTGACAAAGGTTGAAGGTTGGCTGCAAGAGCAGGTCCAACTATGTTTACAATGCGTTTTTGCACCTTGTCTAAAAGATATGCGGTAGTGGTGTAGTGGTAGAGGCGCTCGCTTCATAAACAAGTGGTTCCGAGATCGATCCCCACCACGTCCCTGGTAGTACCGCGCTCAATTCGTTTCTCCGCGCAGCGGCCTTGTTCGTCAAGGTTCGTGTTTCGGAGTTATAGAGTTGAGAGAGGGTTATAGCCACAAAAAAAGTAGCCTCCTTGTCTGTAGTGGCCTTCTCGGCCTTGAGGAGGTGAAGTAAAATAAAAAATTAAAAAAAAAAAAAGAGAAAGAGCATCATTAGAAGATCCGCCCTCTAGATATGGCAACAGTATTCCATACAAGGCCGGATTTGAGATTTATAGAGATGGAGAATAGAATCCAGAGTAAGAAAGTGACGAGCTCGATAAAGAGAAGCAACTTTAGCAGATGCTAATTTTGCAACGGATTTGATATAATGTTTCCAAGAAAGATCAGAAGTGAGAGTTAATCCTAGAAGATGAAGGGTAGGTGACTCATCGAGTACATTACCGTTCATAAATATAGGAAGGTCTAAACTATTGCAATAATAATTGGCCGAAAAAAATTGAGTTTTATCTGAATAAAAGTTCACCAGCCACTGTAAGTCCCATGCTGTAGCAGAAGTGAGATAGTTTTAAAGCTCAAATGCCCCCTGCAAGCAATCAGAGGGAGTTGGCTTCTTATCGTGACAAGAATAAATGGTAGTATCATCAGCGAACAATGCCACCTTAGATGTGAGAATATCTGAAAGATCGTTAATGTAAATTAAAAAGAGTATAGGGCCAAAGATTGAACCTTGAGGAACCCCTGAGGTTACAAAATAAGAATAAGAGTGCTGTCCATCAAGGACAACTTTTATACTACAATTGGAAAGGAAGGATTCAATAATCTTAAAGATGTTTTCAGATACACCGTAAGAAGAAAGCTTATGGAGAAGACCAGCATGCCAAACTTTATCAAATGCTTTAGAAATGTCAAGAGTGATGGTCTTAACCTCTCCACGTTTATCTAATGCGCGATAAAACCTTTCGGTTATTACTGATAGCAAATCAGCCGTAGAACGAGAAGATCGAAATCCATATTGATGATCAGAAAGTAGGTTATGAGATTCGAGATGACAGATTAAGTGTTTGTTAATTAAAGATTCAAAAACCTTGCTTATGATAGAAAGAAGATTAATGGGATGGTAGTTGAACGAATCGGATCGCTCTCCAGAATTTTTTAAAATAGGGATAACAGATGCTGCTTTTCAGCAGACTGGAAAACAAGACTCTGATAAGCTCTTGTTGAATAGTTTTGAAAGGATAGACGACAGCTCTGGAGAACACTTCTGCTAGCTTTCCGCAAGCTGTAGAAGAGTCTAAGCAAGAAATCACTTTAGATACAGAAGCTGGAGTGATACAGATGTCGAGCAATGGATCAACCTGTTTGACGGCTGCATCAGGTAGAACGCAACTAGTGGAATCAAGAGATGGTATTGATGAAAAGTTCTTAGCAAACAATTCAGCCTTGTGTTTAGGTGAGGTGACAAAGTCTGAACCATACAAAAGAGATGGAATTACAGACTTGCCCTTATTATTGATACTATTAAAGATTCTCCAGAAGTCACAAGAGCCTAATTTTTGTGATGAAATACGAGATTTTATGATCTGAGAATGGGGGGTTTTAGCGTTAGACAAAGCCTTTTCACAATGGTTCCTAGCAGTAATAAACAGACGTCTGTTTTCTGGAGAATTGTTTTGCTGATAGATATGGAAGTAATGGTTTCGATTGGCAATTGCAGCAGCACAATGTGAGGAAAACCATGGAGAAGAGTGAGGCTTGACCTGGAATTGTCGAGAGGGAATAAAGGAATCCATGCCAGCCTGAATCCACGAAGTTATGTAAGAAGCACATTTCTCAACAGGAAGACGAAAGATTTCTACCCAAGGGCCATCACTAAGAAAATCAAGGAAAGAGTCCCAGTCAGCTTTAAAGTAGTTATAAGATGTACGATGATAGGGGGATTCTGATGGTAAAGAAGAATGAGATAATAGTTTTAGAGAGACCAAACCATGATCAGAAGCACCTAAGGGTGAGTGTGAAGAAACTGAGCACTGACTAGGATCAGAAACAAGACATAAGTCGAGTAGAGGAGGTAAATGATTCGGGTTGTCTGGAAAGCGAGTTGGAAAGTTGACTATATGAGTTAGGGATTGAGAAAGACAAAAGTTGTGGGCCTTAATGCCTGCAGAGTCACTGACAATAGAGCCAAGCCATTCAGTGTGATGAACATTAAAGTCACCGACAACAACAGTATTGGCTGATGGATAAAGAATGAGGGCTTGGTCAATATAATCAGAAATAACATCAAGAAGAGTGCAGTCTTGAGATGAAGGAGAGCGATATAGAACAAAGAGAAAGGTGATAGAGTGAAGTGGTGCTAAACGAAAGCACATAAAAGAGTAGTTTGTGGATTCAAACCTAGTTTCCCGACAAATGGGTGAATTCTTACGAATGTAAATGTCTAGGCCAAGCATGTGACTATTGGAGTCTTTACGAATTAAAGGAAGATAATCATCAACACTAAGATCACAAGATGAGACAGCTGAACTCAAATTAGTCTCATAAAAAGCAAGTAGGTCTGGTGAACTTTGCAAGAGATAAGACTCAACAGAAGAAAAGTTACTTCGAAGACCACGAATATTGGTGATTAATAGGTTTAGCGAACTTGGTGATAACTGTGGTTTTTTGTGTTTTATAGTTTTTGTTACTTTATTCATTTTTAAATTTGTTAAAGAACTTGACTCGATACATAGATAGTACTCAGTACACTGTCTTATAGTCCAAGCAATTGCCTCATTTCCACTAATAAACCCTAAGCCGTAACAAAGGGCTCCAATGTGGCCTCAGCGATGCACACCAAAGGTACAAACAGGGACACCACCCATGCGCAACATGGCACTGTTAGTACTCTAATATTTTTCAGCTGTTGATGGAATCAGCCTCTCTGAGAGCTACCACAGAGTTCGGGAAACCTGACTACCAGGCGGCCTCAGAACCATAAAACTGAGTTTTAGAGCTGTATCCTTATTAGGAGATAATGGATTGAGTTGCCTAGTCATAAAAACAGAGACAGTTGAGTGTTCAACATCCTAATCTGGAAAATAAATTAATAATACATTGTATTATTAATTTATTTTCCAGTTTAAATAATAGATGTATTTTAATACAATGTAAGATGAATTTTAATACAATGTAATAAAAAATACATCTGCGCCAGCCTAATAGATGAAGAAGGGGTGCAAGGCTAATCAACAGATAGAATTAGTTTACCCCTTTAGTCTTTGCCTAGGAGGCCTTCTACAAGACAGCAGCCGGATACATTTAACATCTCCCCAAGATGAGCATTTTTATCAAGACACCATCTCTAGCCTATACTCAACAAAGAGCCCTAAGGCAGGGGGTGTTTTATGTCGGAGTTGGCATCTCCTAGCCTTTGTCTAAAAAGGCATATCCTAAAAGGCAGCAGGGCATGAAGCAGATTGTACTGGGTTATATGTTACTAGTAGCAGGATAAACCTGACCTGACCAGTATAAATAAAACATAAGTTTCTTTTTTTGAGGAAGATGTGAGTGTCCAAAATATTTTTAATAGGTTCAACAATTTTTTCTTTGTTAAAAATCAATTACTAGATGGTTATACTTCAGAAGAATTTCTACTAGACCTCAGTTGCAATCTTTTGAAGATAATAAGAATATGCTTAGATAAAAATTTTTCATTCAAATGTAATTTTTATATTTTTATTACCTAATCTCCTGAATCATTTAGAATCAGTTTTTCTCCTTGTAATCATTTTTAAGCATAAAGAAATAGATTTTAACATGCTGTTGAAAATGTCCAACACCATTTATTGGGTGAAAACAAGGTATCTCCTGACCAGTTTTAAATTCTTTGAAAAACCATTTAAAACTGGTCAGAGCTAGCAATGAGGCCATTGCTGTAGTTTTGAATCTCTGAATCCTATATTAGGATTTAAATAAAATCTTCGCTACTTTTTCTTTATCCTTTTTTTTATTTTATTTTTTTGAGATACTATATTTTGGCATTCTAAATTTCAAATAAACTAATATAATACTTTTTTATTAAAATAAAAACATTTTTAAGTAGATAAGAGTTATTTAAGTAATTTACTCTTTGAGATGGATAAAAATGTATCATACTTTTATCAATGTATGTTTAAAATGTGATACTTATGTGTTATTTTTTTAATTTGATCTATTGTATATCCTTATTTTATTAGTATTTAGTAACTTTCTTTTTTTTAATGTTAGGCTGGTAATAATGAAAAACTTAAAGATTTATTATTGAAGCATGCATCAGAAGAGGTTATTTTATATATGCTTGTGTGTGTGTGTGTGTGTGTGTGTGTGTGTGTGTGTGTATAAATATATATATATATATAATATATATATATATATATTCATACGCAACTATAAATGCGTGTTTCGATAAAACACTAACGTCACACTGAAATAACCTGCTGTCACAAAAGAGTGCCGTTACATCAACCGAAGGTTTAGTATGGGGCAGCATCTTTTCTTTTGTTATACTTGTTGTTTTTTTTGCTTTTGTTTTTTTAAAAACGCCCAATGCTATAAAGTTAGGAAATTCTAGTAATTAGTTATCTAAATATGCTATCATAGGTATTGTATTATAAGTGTAGGAGGTCGGCTAAAAAGCCAACCTCCTACACTTATAAAACAATAAAAGTAAAAAAGTATGCAAAAAAAATTTTTTTCAATTTTTTTTTTTTTTATATACAATAGCTATTTAAATACAAAAAAAGGTAAAAAATAATTCCAGAAAATTTGTGTTACTAAACTAGTTAAAACATTATTTAATCGCATGTTCCTATTTTACAGCATTAATTTTGCATTGAGTTGACCAGGTTTTGACAATGTTTTAAAGAAATTTTTACAAAGCATCCTTAACAACGTTGCAAAAATAAAATGATTTCTTGATTTTTCTTTTAAAGGAACTGCTTATTTGACATTAGTCTAGAGGTTTTGACAGAATTGAGATCTGATGACTACACAGGCTAATTTATAACTTTAATCCCTTTTTCCACAAACCATTTTTTTTGCCTTGAAACTTTGTATGTTTTGGGTTGTTGTCTTGCCTAAAAAATCATTTTAGTGGCATATCTTCTTCTGAATAGAGTAACATGATGTTTTGAAAAATTTTCAGAAATATTTGAGGGTTCCATAATTTCATTAACCTTATAGACAAACCATGCCATAATATAAAAAACAACCCAAATTATTTGTTTTTGATCCACCATGTTTAAGCTTTTATATTGTATTGCAGGTTGTTTGGAAGAGTTAGATGGCCTTCATACATTTACCCTGTGTCCATTTGATATAAATAAAATAAATTTGCTTTCAGACCCACAACATGTTTCATCATTTTGAAGCAGGCCAATTATGATATGCTTTTGCAAAACTCATTCTTGTTGTAATATTTAAAAAAAAAGATTGTTAGATTTCTAGAAAATAATTTGCGTTCTAATATGTTTTAAAAGAAACTTTTTAATTTAAGTCATCTTTAATTTGGAGAGAAGGATCAAAAAAAAGGATCAGCAACAACAACATGTTTTATTAATTGGTTAACAGCATGTTTTATTAATTGGTTAACAACACTTGTTTTATTAATGACAAGTTGTTTTACTTTTACAGCTCCTGATTTTATTATTTTCCATTTTAATGTATTTCTAAGCATCATAGCAGAACTTTTGTTATATCTTTTGAATAAATATAAAATTCAGGGTATCCTACTGTAAATTAAATAGTGCTAATGTTATAACTCAAATTGCTATAATCAATGTTATAATTATAATTTTCCATTCATTCATCCATTCAACATTGGTGCCACAATTCAGGGATTATCTTTTTACTGACATATCCGATTATTTTGACAGTTATATCCAAGATCATTTTGCATATTTTTAACTTTTAGTTTTTCCTCATTTCTATAATGATTTTCCTACACTTTTTTAAGACAAATTTAAGGAAAATAAATGTTTTCTGTATATGAAAATATGAACTAAATGATTATTGACAATTATGTAAAAGGTTGTTAAACTATTTTTAACAAGATTTTTACTATAAACAATTATTTTGCCAAACACTACTATTATTTTTCCGCAACTATATATATATATATATATATATATATATATATATATATATATATATATATATATATATATATATATATATATATATATATATATATATATATATATATATATATATATATATATATATACATATATATTATTTATATATATATATTATTTATATATATATATTATTTATATATATATATTATTTATATATATATATTATTTATATATATATATTATTTATATATATATTATATATATATATATATTATTTATATATATATATATATTATTTATATTTATATATATATTATTTATATATATATATATATATATATTATTTATATATATTTATATATTTTATATATACATGCAGGAAAAGTTGCGATTATCTTTGCTTCAAGAAATTTCACGTGTTGAATGCAATTGTAAACTTCAGAAGGAAGGAAAAGGACTGGCCAGTGTTAACCTAGCACTATACTTTCAAAATGACGAGCTTACTAATTCACTTGTAAATCCTTTTTGATTTCATATTTTTTTAATAAAAATCTATTTTTTAAAAAGTGGCAATTGATTTTAAATATTTCTTATTTTATTTTCTATTTTTTTAAGGATACCACGCTAAGCTTTAGGCATAAGTCTTCACATTTACCTGATATGGATAAACTTTTGGCTGCACGCCTTGAAGCTTTGAAAGATAAATACCTACTGCTAAAGGTAATTTCTTTTATTAAACCTTCATTAGGCATTTTATTATACATGGTTATAATGGTTGTTATGTTAAGAAATTGCTCTGAACAAACTTGAAAACAAGTTTAAGTTTGAATTTGAATATGGAAAATGATTACTTAAATATTAAAAAAAAATAATAAATTATTTTTTCTAAAACGTAAAGTAGAAGTGAATTTACTTGATTATTACTGCGTTGTTTTATAATATAGTGAATCATTTTATATAATAGTGTAGAGTAATTCTTAGATGGATGTACGTTCTTAAAAAAATTATTGAGGTTTTTTTTTAATATGGTCATTATTACATTGCATATACTTCCATGTTTATAAGCTAAATTTGCTTCTTGTTAAAAATTTATTTTCGCTTAAAGATTTTATTAAAACTCAAAATATACATTTATATATATTTTGAATATATATATATATATATATATATATATATATATATATATATATATATATATATATATATATATATATATATATATATATATATAAAGTATACATATAAAATATATATTTAAAAACATTTTTTGAAAATGAATTCAACTTAGTTACATAAGTTTTTATTGACGTAAGCTTTTATTTTCAGGCTTCTTTAATAAGCAGACATCAATTAGAAAAAGACACACTTTGCCAAACACAGCGATTTGAAACGCAGCTAAATTATAAAGAAATATTGAGGCAGAGGTATTTACATCCCCATGGTAAAGTGTTTTAAAAGTGAAGTTATATTTGTAAATAAATTATTTAATTTTACATCAGTATTTTCTACACGAAGATATTTATAGTTTAAAATTGTAAATATGTTTTTAACATGATGTAAATACATAACTTATATATACTCTGTACTTTTCAACTTATGTAGTTTTTAATTTTTTTATTTTTTCCTCATATAAATCATATATATATATATATATATATATATATATATATATATATATATATATATATATATATATATATATATATATATATATATATATATATATATATATATTATATATATATATATATATATATATATATATATATATACGTATATAAATCGTATATAAATGTATATAAATATATATATATATATATATATATATATATATATATATATATATATATATATATATATATATATATATATATATATTAAACTTTAAAAATTTTTCTTTGAGAGCAATCTTATATCAAAATACACTTATTTTAGGCATAGATATTTATATGTGTATATAGGTATTTAAATATATTAATTGGTAAGTGTTAAAAGTATTACTTTTTAAAAGGTCCGTGATAGTATTAATGTTTAATAATAAAGTAATGTTATTGATAATAATAATGGTATTTTTTTATTTTTATTTTTTATCTATTTGTTAAATGTTTTTAAGTTCATCTTTAGTTTCCTTAAGCATAAATTTAGTATAATGGAATCTGCGTTTGGCTACATTGATTTTAATCAACCATTGGATGAAAATGATTTATTAAAACCACCGTCGTCTGGAATAGAGTATTTAAAACGCGTTCAATATGAAGCTTCAAGATGCCCTGAGGTTGTTATAGCAAACATTCCTAAATCACTAATAACACCTGAATATGTAGAATGTAATCAACGATCTCAACCATTAAGTGACGCCCCAAATCTGAACACTCAGCGAATGCAAGCTGCTGATTTTGCTGAAATGCGTCAGAAATTAATTTTTTATAAAACTCAAACTAGAAAGGTTGTGCCTATTAGACTCCCTAAAAAACAGAATCCCCAAACGTGGTGTGCGTTTTGTTTTGGTTTAGATTTTGTGAAAAAATGTTATAAAGGTCGTTTGTCAGAAGACATTCTTAATGATGCAACTCTAGAGACGGGACACGAACCTTTACTAAGTATAATAGCTCAGTTTACTCAACCGTTAGCTGTGCAACTTTTAGAGTATCAGTTGACGTGGTTGGATTTATGCGGCTTTTCTACAGAACAAGGTCGATGGTTATATAGTCTAATGTTATGTATTGATAAACCAACTCCACAAGATGCTATGTCTGTATTAAGAACAATAGCGCGTAAATGCTTAAAGATCAGAAATTCGTATAAAGAACAATCTGAATTATTTCCTCAGCTCAATCTATTTATTGTTATTGTTTCAAAATATTTTGGACAAGAAGATTTGGCACTTTGTTGAAGATGTAGTAAGATTTGGCATTTTGTTGAATTAAAGTGAAAGTAGTTTTCCTCTTTTATGTTTTATAAATAATTCCATGATTGTCAATGTTGATCAACACTAGATGTATATATTATTGATAATTATGAAATTCTGGTTTATTTTTTATTTCTTGATATTGATTATATTTTTGAAGTTTATTTAAAAAAAACAAACAAAGATAATGTATTGTCGTATTAATGAATTTTTGTGATGTAAAAGTGATATTAACTACGATATTATTATGTATTATGTTGTTAATTTTTTCTTTTTTTTTAATGTGTTTATTTCATTTTTCAGCAGGCAAAGTATAAATTATGATCATTCCAATCCGTTGTTTTACATGCGGTAAAGTTGTTGGTAACAAGTGGGAATCTTATCTTGGTCTGCTTCAAGCTGAATATTCGGAAGGAGACGCCCTTGATTCGCTCGGTCTGAAACGTTATTGTTGTCGTCGAATGCTTTTAGCTCACGTCGATCTGATCGAAAAGTTACTTAATTACGCTCCTCTTGAAAAATAATAAATTTATTTACTACCATTCCAAATAAATATTTTATTAGTTTTTTGTTGTTATCCTTTATGTCAAAATTAAAGTGCGTCCTTTTTTGCGATTTTCATCCTCTTCTTGGTCCTCAAGTGGCTTATCAAGCCCCAGTCGATTTTATTACAAAAGAACAAATTGATTCAATAGCACCTTACATCATTCCTAAACCTCAATTTCAAGGACGTCTGATAAGTTTTAAAGCATATGGATTTACATTTATGGGCTATCCAATAAAAATTGATAATAAAAAGTATGATAGAAATGCGCTATTATTTAATGCGCTGTTTGTGTTTAATGAAAATGACTGTGTGCAGGAATTTGAACCAGTTGTGACAAAATTAGCTGGCTACCTTACAACTTTGGAATTAGAGACAGAGTATATATGGAATTCAAAAACGAAAAGAAATCTTCAAAGCATTTTGACGAAGATACTTGAAGATATTAGGTAATTAACTGTACTTCATTTACTTGATGTTATTTTATTTTCGTTACTTTATAGACATACCTATTATTGTTTTGAGATCTTTTCATTATATTAATAACTTTAAATTATTATTTTTAGTTCGCTGGGAGAGTGTACTATTCCAGTAGATCATTGTAATACAATATTTTTAAAAGTAGTAAAACTTCCAAAAGAACCGCCAATTGTGTATGATGATCAAGTTCCAGTTTTTCTGTGGAGTAAATCTGCCATTGAAAATCAGCACTGGGATTTGACAGCGCAGCGTATAATTCCTTGTATAGACGGATGTAATCATGTGCAAAAGATTGCGTTTATTGCTGAAGTAGATTTAAGCATAGTGCGTTCTGCTATACAAACTTTACTTTTTTATGGTGTTGTTGCTTTAGTACCTATATTTCTCTATTCAAACAAGTATGCTGTTAAACCGAAAATCAATAATCTTCTTAAAGATCCTTCAATGAGGAATGAATGCATCGCCTACGTTTCTCAAGACAGTGAAAAGCCATCTAGTTTTCATAATATTTTTAAATTGTATTGTGAGTTAGGGCCTGGAATATCGGTTAATGATCTTTGCAATCGACATGATCCTGTTGCACTGGGAATCAACATTCAAAGACTGATACTTTACGGCCTAATAAAGAAATTTGTTCACAACTTAAATAAATATCCAGTATTCAGTTCTACTAATCAAATTACAAATAGTTCAATTGAATATTTAAAATACTTTAATGGCTGCCATAGTTACTCGAAAATATGCTGCATGTCAGTGACTGCCGGTGAATCTATGCATATTGAAGAAATTAAATCGACAATAGACAATGATCCAAACGTTATTTTAATTTGGAAGTGATTTATATATTTTTTAAGTTGTAAACATTAGTTTTATATTAATACATTAAGTGTCGTATTTGTGTATTTCAAAAAAAAAATTCAATTAAATGAAAGTAACAAGAAGAATTACGAACGAATGTATGATCCTTTTTAAAATATATGTTAAATTGTTACTAACTAACGAATGTATGAACCTTTTTAAAATTTATGTTAAATTGTTACTAACAAATGAATGTATGAACCTTTTTAAAATTTATGTTAAATTGTTATTGATTCCTTATTAAAAAATAATTCTGGTTTAAGCTAATAATTTAGCAGGTAGTATAATATTTAAAATAACGACTTTTCTGTTGGAAAGATTTTAGATTTATTGTTCCTTAAATCTTTTTTTTTTAATCTATAAATGTGAATGGTTTTTCTTTTTGCACGTACCACCTCTCTATCGTCTGGTGAGTGGTGTTGATTGTTAGCCATTTCATATGCTATGCATAAGTAAAAAAAAGTGAACCTGCTAAGAACCAAATACAAAAACTCCTTTTTTCTTCATTTTTTTTTTTGTTTTTTTTTTCCTTTTATTGTTATTTATAAGTTTTATCTATATTATTGTTTATCATTATTAAGAAAAGGATAGCCAGCCGCATGAACAAAAAAATGTATACAACTTAGGAACAATGGATTTAAAATCATTCTAACAAAACAAAACAAAAAGTTATCATTTGTAACGCGATAGATTTTAAAACATGGAGGGAAGTTTTGTACCTTTCACAACTTTTCGACCTTACTTTTCAAATCTGAGTAAACTAGATTAGGGTTAGGACTATTAAAATTGTAATGGTAAAAATTAAATACAATTGCACATTACAATACAACAATATTGTATTGTAATATTGCAGAAACAATTTTTTTTTATTTTGGTATTGTATTGCTATGATGAAAAACAGTTACAATAAGTATTGTTTTTTTTTTCTTCTTGTTTTTCTAACAATGCAATAGAATTCGAGAACTATTGTATTGCTGTGATAAAATAAAATTGCAATAACTATTGTATTGTTTTGATGAAAACAATTACAATAACTATTGTAGTGTATTATTTAACATTAAAGTATAAAAGCTGTCGTATTTTAACGGATTTATCTATTGACAGACTTACTATTATTTTTGGTATTTTTTTATTTACGAAATTGCAATATACTGCAAATTTTATTTTTTTATATATTTAGATTTCGCATCGCCTATCTTGATTCTAAGCTCTAAATGGCCGCAAAATATTGCCTGTCTGATGATAGCCTTACTATTATAAAAAATATCATTCATAAATTATTTTATTCAGCTCTTATAAAAAATATCATTCATCAATTATTTTATTTTTCCTCTTGATTTTAATGCTGCAAAGAAACTTAAAATATATGAAAATATCGACTTTGTTTCTACTAAATTGGCTAAAAGTATTGGAGTTCTATATAAGGTCAGATACTATCTAAGTAAACAAAATTTAATTCAACTCTACTACTCATTCATAGCTGTATATTTTATGCAAATATTGTTTGGGGAAGTACCTCTCAAAGTAAGTTACGAAATCTCTACCATCGTCAGAAACACGCAATCCGTTTATTATGTTTTGAAAATTGCTTTTCTCATTCAAATATTTTATTTAAAAACGTTAAAGCTTTTAACGTTTACGAACTCAATGTCTATAGTATTTTATGTTTCGTTGTAAAGTGAACAACCATTGTCCAATTTCAAAAATCTTTTTACTTATAAAACTATAAACAAATATGCTTTACGAAATAATAAGTTATTATTTATCGAGCACCGTATTTACGGAACAAAATTGTTGTTCCAAATTTTGATTTGTCAATTTCGTTTTCCGTTCTTAAAACTAAATTAAAAAACTATATTCTTTCTACTGGCAATATTATAAATATTTTTGAAATGTAAAATACTTTTTTTCACTCTTGATAATTTGTAAAATTATTTTCAGTTTTTGTTTTTTCTACATTGTTAATAGTTATTAGATCAATTGTATTTTTATTTTATGATATATACACGTATGATATATTTTATATGGTTCTGGCGACAAGATCATTTGGATCTTCTTTCAGATACCAAGTTTATATATTGTTATATTGTTATATTACGATTAATAATTGTAGACTTAAAAAAATAATAATAACTTTAGTAACACATCTAGTTAAACATAATAATTCTTAAAAAAATGTATATATATATATTAATGAAGACGTAACGAAGAGCCAAAAGTAGATTTTATTTGATGCGCGTAAGGCCTGAAAATAAGATAAAATGTTAATCGTACTATTTTTAACAATATCTTCATATTCATTAGTTTTCCAAATATCTCATACTTTTTCTTACAAAGATTTTAATTGCTAAAAGTTTTACTGGAATGAGTTGTATTTATAAGATTTTGGTATAAAGATAAGACTATTAGATATTTAATTATTTCCAACGAACAAATACCAGCATCTTCAAGTTGCCTTTGTTTGAATTCAGGTGATGTGTAATCATCATTATCATTAAAACTCTAACTTGAACCACTAGAGATCTTCAGAGCTGGCTGCTCTTTGATGCTGATCAGACTTAGATGGACTTTCAAATTGACCTGAATAACACTGCATTTTTACTCTTCTTGATACTTAGTATCAAAATATGAGAGGATATTTCTTAACACTTTTAGTCAGTTAAATTAAAAATTTGTATAAAAAATAAAATCTAACTTTTTAAATAAACCTTTTGACAGTTTTATAATTTTTTTTTTTTTTTAATTTAATTTTTTTAGCTTAAATTTTTCAAATTAAAGTAGAATCAAAAGTCAAATTAAAAGAATTAAAAAAATAAATTTGTTTCAGCAACCAACAAACCCTCAAAATAAATGCATTTACCTGATTCAAGTTGTAAATCCCACTGAATTGTAAATTTGCTGCTGTTGTGATATATATACGCCAGACGAGCCACATTAGTTGGGTCCAAACGACTTCGTAGTGGAGTTACAAAGTTTCCTGCTTCTGAGAAAGCTCGCTTTGATGCTGCAGAAGATGCTCGAACGGAAAGCACAGCATGAGCAGCTTTAGGCAAAAATGGAAATCGAATTCATTTTGTTTCCAAAAGCAAAGGACATGAGTATCTTTTGGTATTTTGACTTTTGAAAAAGCCACCCACTCCATTAAAATAGGAGGTTTCTCTTCAGCTCCAACCATTGGGTCTGTTGCTTTTTCTTCACCTCTGCAGGTTTCATAAAAGGGATCTTTTTCACGGGAAAACTCCTCAAAAACCTCTCGGCGTGTTGCAGAGGTCCATTCTTGGTAGGAAGAATGATTATTTAATGTCATTAATAATTTATCGTTTGACCTTTTCGAATTATGCCGGGGAGAATCGACTTAGAGCCACACCACGGTAACGTGGATCTAAAAAGTTAGCTTCAGCAAAAGCTTTTTCATCGCAGTCATGATTCTTAAACTTTTCTTTAAGCTTGGACAAAACAGCTGCAAAGTAGTTCTTCACATCTTCTGTGTTTTCTTCTGTCATGCTGTCAGAGAAGATTTTGTGCAAGTTGAACACTTCGGGAATGACTTCATGAATTGATGGTTTGCCTTCAACAGACAAGGTGTTGATTGTGTCATTAAGCTTTTTCATCAAGGGCAAAATCTTCTGCCAGATTTCAAAAATGGATTCATCAGAAATCTCTCCCTACCAGGTATTTTTCTTGTCAGGGAATTCATTTTTCTTTCTTTTTCTTTGTATGTACAGAAAAATAGGCTTTGCATCTAAAATTGACTTCAAGCAAAAAAATATACTATTCCAGCGTGTCTTGACAAAACTTTGAATCTTATGGAGTGGTTCTTTAAACAAATTTTTTTGTTTCAAGTGCGCTGCAGCGGCCTCCATTTGGTGTGCAATCTTGGGTAAATTTTGAAGCAAAGAGGAAAACGCTTTTGCTTTTTCGAACTAAAAACTGGCTTTAAGTCCAGCAAAGCAGACCAGATTAAACCGATGGTTGACTCAGGAAGCTGATGAAACTGATGATGAGTTTTTGGAAAAAGCTGCGGCAGCAGCATCATTAGAAAGATTTCACAACCATTGGGCAATTGACTTTGTAAATGTAAATTTGTTATTTTTTATTATAAAAAGGCGCTTTTTTGCTCTTTTGGACACGGGCTTTAATGACCCTCGCTACGCCACTGCATTGTGTCTACCAAAATCTATATATCCTACTATAACTATAATTTCCATCAAATCATCAACATTAAAAGTTGCCAAACAACTTTTTTTTAATTAGAATTTAACAGAAAATCTACTAATACAGTAAAATCTCCCAATTTTTTAATGCATTGGATTTTGCGACTTCAACTTTAGAAAATGTGTTGGTTTTCCAAATTTCCCGCGCAGTTAAAAGTAACTACCAGCTCCAGTTCCTAGAAACATTTTTAATTGCTGTTATCACAAGAGCTTCAACTCCTAAAAGCAGTTTTGCAAGTTTTCAGAATTATTACGTATTAATAAATGATTACCTTCTATTAATGCCAAAAACTCAATTTTTTCCCCAGAAGTGGCTTGTTGAGCTTTTATTTCTTTCTCGTGCCGCAAAACTTCTTTATACACGGTTTTATGTTTATGCTTGAGGTGTGACTTTATGCCAGTTGCAGAAGCATTTGGTCTAGCAATTTTTGTTAGAGACAACATCTGGACATAACTTGCATTTGACTTGTAGAACATTTTTTGAAGTCGGTTCAACATCTTTTTTTTTTTTTTTTTTTAATTTTCCGTTTTTGTTACAATTAAATTCCGTAATATAATACAAGATACTCTTATTCTTTCAAAACTAAGCAGTTATAAATATAAAAAATCAAAGACAAAATAATAAGAGTTAGTTATACAAAAATAAATAAAAACGCGGGAAACTTTCAGAAGACCATGAAGTCTTATCATCAAGAACCGTTGTAATAATTATGTTTTTACAATATTAAATTCCTATAATAGTGTTAAAAGCAAAACTTAATTAACTAAGGGAAATAGTGTTAAAACCAAAAACTTTCCAATGTAAAAAGACAAAAACAAAAAAACAAACAAACAAACAAAAAAAAAAAGCAGTTTAAAAGAAATCATTAATAAGATTTGTATACTTTGAAATATTCTTTTTTATTATTTTTGGAAAGCAATTTATATTGTTTACACCTGGTAAATTACTATATTTTGCTAAGATTTTATTCCAGATATGCGGAGCACAATACGTAATTTTAAATTGTTCTTTAGTTTTGCACAATGGTTCAATTAAGCCTGTTGTGCGTAAAGTATATTTAATGTTAGGTTTTATTTCATAAAGATCATTAAAAATTGAGGGGCATTGTTAAAATTTACTTTTGTACATGAGACATAAAATTTTATAAACATTTATCTCGTATAACGTAAAAGTATTCATAATTTCGAACAGTGGTTTTGCATGTCCGTTTTTATTTTTAAAATTTATTATTCTTAAGGCATGTTTTTGTTTTCGATAGAGTGCTTCAAGCTTGCTTTTAGATGTACTACATCACGCGATATTCGCGTAATTCAAGTAACTTTGTATAAAACTGAAATAGATTTGTTTTAGATGATGATTATTTGTTTTAGTGATGCTTATTAAGTAAATGTTGTTGGACCTGGACTATCTGCTAAGCTTGAGCCTCTTTCCCATCGTCGTAAAGATGCATCTATTTCTCTTTTCTACAAATACTATCATGGTCACTGCTCAAAGGAATTATCATCTCTAGTTCCATCAACTAAAATTCATTCTCGTTTTACTCGTCATTCAGCTAAATCTCATTCATTTACTGTATCTGTCCCTGCATGCTTTAAAAACTTTTATTCATCTAGTTTTTTTCCCCGCACTTCAATCCTTTGGAACTCTCTCCCATCTTCATGTTTTCCTGACTCATACAACCTTCAACTTTTCAAGTCTTCTGTCAACCGTTTCCTTGCTCTATAACTCTGTTCTTTTTTTTCCTAGTAACTCCCAACTTAATAGTGGTTGCTTGCAGCCTTGTTGGGAGTGAATGCAAATAAAAAAAAAAAAAAAAACCCTGACTGATATAGAACGCCAATACTTTTTGATACTTTGCTGCCAACATAGGCAATATGTTTATTCCAGGTAATATTTTCGTCAATGAGAACACCAAGAAATTTTGTGACTCTTTCGCGACTAACTTCTGTGTTTTTAATAACTAGTTTTGGAAAAGAAATAGGAATTTTTTTTTTTTTAAAGGGTGGAATAATGAGAACTTTGTTTTATTTGAATTAATAGAAAGTTTATTTGCATTGAACCATAGTGAAACTTTATCTAACTTGTTGTTCATTTGTACGAAGAGTTGAGGTATATCTTTTCCTGAAATAAAAAGTTACTGTCGTCAGCAAACATTATTGTTGATACATTTGACGCTCTCCAGAGATCATTCACGTATATTAGGAAAAGTAGAGGCCCAAGAATAGATCCTTGGGGCATTCCACAAGAAATTAAAGATGAATTTGTAAGTTTTTTATTTCCGTATTATATAGACTGTGTACGTTTACTCAGGTAATCTGCTATCCACCTGCAGGATACGCCTCTTATGCCGTGAAGCTTTTTTATCATTATTTTATGATCCACTGTGTCAAAGGCCTTGGAGAGGTCAATAAACACGCCTAAAGTAAATTCTCCGTTTGCAAAAGAGTTTTTTATTTTAATAATTAAGTGAAGTATTGCATGTTCAATTGAAGTATAATAGAATAAGTCATTTTCTTTAAAAAATGCATATAACCTATTGAACATAATTCGCTCAAAAATCTAAGAAAAAATGGAAAGTATAGATATTGGTTTATAGTTTCCAATATCCCTTTTATCGCCTGATTTATATATAGGTTTAACTTTTGCTGATTTAAGTATATCAGGAAAGATACCCTCATTCAGAGAACGTTTACAAATTTTAAATAAAGGCACTTTTAACTCATTATAACAGTCAATAACAATGTTGCTGTTTATACCATCAATTCCAGAAGATTTCTTACGTTTCAAACTTTTAAAAGCTGTTTTGTATTCTTTAAAGGTTAAATTCTCATTTTTAAATTAATTTTTATTGTAATGAAGGTATTCCTTAAATGATTTATTTACATTTAGAATTTTTGCCGCAAGTTTAGGTCCTATATTCACAAAAAAATTGTTAAATTCATTTGCTATATTGTTTTCATTGGTAATAGTTTTATTTTTAATATGTAAGATTTTCGGAAAGAAAGATTTATTGATTTTCGGTTTTCCAATTATTTCATTTAAGACTTGCCAAGGTTTCCTAGAATTTAATTGACACTTTTCAAGTTGCTTTTTATAATAGTTTGATTTTGCAGTTCGTTTGATTTTCTCAAATAAAGTCCAGTAGTTTTTATATTCTGCCTTGGTCTTTATGCACTTATTTTTTAGATATCTATCGTACTTCAAAGTCGTTCCACCATAGTTTTTGCCTTTTGCGACCAGGTGGGAGTCTAGTTTCTGCAAATTTAAAAGAAATCAGTTACAAGCTCAAAAAGTAACAATCCCAATTTTATAGCAAGTATTACTTAGGATCCCCATTTTACGATCTTATAATATAACTTAAAGATGAACAAAACAATTTTAACTACTGCTTGAAACCTATTTTAAAAAATTACTCTAGGTTATAAATCATATTTATTCAAAAAAAGAGAAAAATAAATAAAAAAAACTATACCTGCCATTTCGTGGTTCAACCTTTGATCCTTAGGCAAAAAATGAGTCTGATACTAGTGGCAAAATCTAAAAGAATGAAAATTAATTTAAATTGTAAACATTTTTTTGCTGTTTTTTTTACATTTTTATATTTACAAACTTAGAGTTTGTAATTGCAAAAATTGTGTGGCTCTTTTTAGAAAAAAAAATTGAGCCACACAATTCTTGAGAAAAAAACACAAATTTTAAGTACTCTCTTAAACGTTGTGCTTTTGAAATTTAAGACTTTAAACTTAAACACTGTGAAGAAACATTTCCTTTACATGCTAAAAAAAACTGAAATTTACTTTTGACTTACGCAACTCAGAAAGTTTAACTTGTCACGCTTTAATATTGTCTTGACACGGAATTCCATGACAATTCTTCCGCGGAAGAATTATTTATTACGTAATCAAAAATCATGACTATAAAACATTAAAAAACCTAATTTGTACTAGTCAGCACCGTTTGAAAATTTTGACTTTTTTGGTTACGAAACATCCCGAAAAAATCCTCTTAGGGTATGAAACTACACATGTCAAGAATACTATATCAACTTACTTTGAAATCCAAAATTAAAATCCGAGAGAGATTTTTTGATTTGAAAATATTCAATATTTTCACCAAATGGATAGAAGTTGGTTACAACCTGCCCTTAACAAAAGGGGTCATATCAGTCCTAATACAGCCTAACTAATTTAAAAAGTAAAATTAAGATAGAATTTTACTTTTTAAATTTTGTGCTGCTGCAATTGCCAATCGAAACCATTACTTCCATATCTATCAGCAAAACAATTCTCCAGAAAAGAGACGTCTGTTTATTACTGCTAGGAATTATTGTAAAAAGACTTTGTCTAACGTTAAAGCCCCCCATTCTCAGATCATGAAATCTCGTATTTCATCACAAAAATTAGGCTCTTGTGACTTCTGGAGAATCTTTAATACTATCAATAATAAAGGCAAGTCTGTAATTCCACCTCTTTTGTATGGTTCAGACTTTGTCAACTCACCTAAACACAAGGCTGAATTGTTTGCTAAGAACTTTTCATCAATACCATCTCTTGATTCCACTAGTTGCGTTCTACCTGATGCAGCCGTCAAACAGGTTGATCCATTGCTCGACATCTGTATCACTCCAGCTTCTGTATCTAAAGTGATTTCTTGCTTAGACTCTTCTACAGCTTGCGGAAAGCTAGCAGAAGTGTTCTCCAGAGCTGTCGTCTATCCTTTCAAAACTATTCAACAAGAGCTTATCAGAGTCTTGTTTTCCAGTCTGCTGAAAAGCAGCATCTGTTATCCCTATTTTAAAAAATTCTGGAGAGCGATCCGATTCGTTCAACTACCATCCCATTAATCTTCTTTCTATCATAAGCACGGTTTTTGAATCTTTAATTAACAAACACTTAATCTGTCATCTCGAATCTCATAACCTACTTTCTGATCATCAATATGGATTTCGATCTTCTCGTTCTACGGCTGATTTGCTATCAGTAATAACCGAAAGGTTTTATTGCGCATTAGATAAACGTGGAGAGGTTAAGACCATCGCTTTTGACATTTCTAAAGCATTTGATAAAGTTTGGCATGCTGGTCTTCTCCATAAGCTTTCTTCTTACAGTGTATCTGAAAACATCTTTAAGATTATTGAATCCTTCCTTTCCAATTGTAGTATAAAAGTTGTCCTTGATGGACAACACTCTTATTCTTATTTTGTAACCTCAGGGGTTCCTCAAGGTTCAATCTTTGGCCCTATACTCTTTTTAATTTACATTAACGATCTTTCAGATATTCTCACATCTAAGGTGGCATTGTTCGCTGATGATACTACTATTTATTCTTGTCACGATAAGAAGCCAACTCCCTCTGACTGCTTGCAGGGGGCATTTGAGCTTGAAAAAGATCTCACTTCTGCTACAGCATGGGGCTCACAGTGGTTGGTGAACTTTAATTCAGATAAAACTCAATTTTTTCAGCCAATTATTATTGCAATAATTTAGACCTTCCTATATTTATGAACGGTAATGTACTCGATGAGTCACCTACCCTTCATCTTCTAGGATTAACTCTCACTTCTGATCTTTCTTGGAAACATTATATCAAATCCGTTGCAAAATTAGCATCTGCTAAAGTTGCATCTCTTTATCGAGCTCGTCACTTTCTTACTCTGGATTCTATTCTCCATCTCTATAAATCTCAAATCCGGCCTTGTATGGAATACTGTTGCCATATATGGGGCGGATCTTCTAATGATGCCCTTTCTCTTTTAGACAAGGTGCAAAAAAGCATTGTAAACTTAGTTGGACCTGCTCTTGCAGCCAACCTTTAACCTCTGTCACATCGTCGTAATGTTGCTTTTCTTTCTCTTTTCTACAAATACTATAATGGGCACTGCTCAAAAGAGTTAGCTTCTCTTGTGCCATCTACTTAAATTTATTCTCGTGTTACTCGTCATTCAATCAAGTCTCATCCTTTTTCTGTTACTGTTCCTAAGTGCTCCAAAAACTCTTATTCGTCTAGTTTTTTTCCTCGAACATCAGTTCTTTGGAATTCGCTTCCTTCATCTTGCTTTCCTGATTCATATAATTTGCAATCTTTTAAGTCATCTGTCAATCGTTATCTTGCTCTCCAATCTTCATCTTTTCTCTTCCAGTAACTTCCAACACTAATTAGTGGTTGCTTGCAGCCTTGTTGGAAGCAAAGATATTTAATATATATATATATATATATATATATATATATATATATATATATATATATATATATATATTCATATATATCTTTATATATATATATATATGTATATATATATATATATATATATATATATATATATATATATATATATATATATATATATATATCTACTGTAGCATATTTATATGTGCAATTGCTCACTTTTTTGCAAGCCTAAATTAAGTGAGCATTTTTAGAAAATGATGAGGGAAAACAAAGAATAATGAATGAAAAGGTTGCTGACCCATACCAAACCCTCAGTCGATGTAGCAGCACTCCACTGCGAGTCAGGCTATTTGTCATTCGATGTATGTAGTGAAGCCCCCGGCAGCAAGCTATTTGACGTTAGGTGAGTATGACACCATCATGCTCACCTAACTCAGCAGTATAAGATATATAATTAAGCAAGTATTATAAAAGTAAAGGCAAGAGAAGGCATAAGATTATAGGTGTCAAATGTTGTATAATCTCAGATAAAAATAAACTCGAAAGAGCAAAGAAAAAAGTTTATGGATTCCTAGAAATTTCCAAGGATCCAAATTTTAAACAACTGGTTGCAAAATTTATCGAAAAATTCAATATATATATATATATATATATATATATATATATATATAATATATATATATATATATATATATATATATATATATATATATATATATATATATATATATATATATATATATATATATATATATATATATATATATATATATATATCAGTTCCGTAGGAACAAAAATTAAATTGGGGGAGGCAGTACTGGATTAAAGGGTCCCGAAATAGTTTTATGGACCTTTTTTTTTAAGTCATTTTTTTCAAAATTATTTATTTGAAAAATTATTGGGGGAAGGGGCAAATGTGATTTAATTTTACGAGCAAGTGGAATCAACTTGAGTTGATTCAATACAGTGAGCGTTATTAATAGATAATAAATAAAAAACACACGACATGGTACGTCATAGAACCTACGATAATACACGACATGCAAGTCAAATTATTGAAAAACAAACCAACAGGATCTGATAATAAATCTGGTTTTAAAACTGAGAAACGGGTATACGGGAACCAGGTTACCTTTCTTAAACTTATCATATGACGGGTAACCGTCATTTAGTAAGTTAAAAATTAATTTCATTCATTTTTAATTTTAAAATTTTTATTCGTAATAAATAAATAAAGAAGATTTTGTCCTTAAAATTTTTAACAGTAACGATTTCTTTATCAACATTAGAATTTTTGAACATACTGAACATAACGTTCTGAAATTTATTTGAATTTCTGTTTTAGAAACTTATTATTTCTCACGTTATGCACAACGATTTCATTTCCATAAATCTCCAACTCCAACTCATTTATTAAAGTCAGTTTCCCTGGTCAGTTTCCTCTCGTCCGTTTTTGTATGGAAACAGTTTAGCAAATTATATCTAAAATGTTTTGAAAAAGTATACATTATATATATTCTTTCTAACCGCTTTATTAAAGTCATCGTCGAAGGTCAAAAGTCTTTTTCATTTCCAGTAACTTCTGGGGTATTTATCCTTGATTTAATGCCTAATAAAAAAAAAAAAAAAAATCAGTTTTTCAAAAGTCGTTTTATTTTAAACAATAACTATTGTAGAACCTAAAAATATATAGATCTTCATACCAGAAAAAAAAAAACTATAACCGTTAATGAGATTTATTTTTGCGGGTAATTTTGCTTCCCCTAGCAACGCTCATAGTGACAGATAGTTAAAGTTAGAAAAAATTAAAAACAAAGAAAAATCTTATAACAATTAGGAATGGGTTCGATGATAAATACTACAATGAAGAGGGAACAGTATATGAAAAAGGGGGATTTTGTATATTCAATATTTTGAATTTTATTTGCATTTTTTTCTGTTTTATATTTCTAATTTTCTGAAAATGACCGCAGGAGCTGTAATTGTCCGATTGACTTCAAATTTTATACATTTGTAATAATGAGCTTTATATCCTGAGTTAAAAAAGTTATGAATACACTTTTTTTTTAAAAATCTTGACTGAATATATTATGCCAAAATAAATCAAAGCTCCAAACAGTTACCCGTGTGTTTACCAACTTGAATGTACATATGACGTTTTTAATGTGGGTGAAACTAGGGAAAAGATAAGAACACGAATAGCTGAAAATCAAAAAAACGTGACTAAATCGAACTTAAAAGCGTTAGGAATTGTTGAAAATATACAACATTGCAAAGGTATAATTAATTGGAATAATCCTAAAACACAGTACTTAATAAAAAAAAGTGTTTTTTCCACTTGAAACTCTATCAAATCTTGTTATTAATAAACATAAGACATTATAACAATATAATTTTATGACGTGTCACGA